AAAAAAAAAGAGAGCGAACAAATCATGTTGTCAATTTTTTCTTCCTATTCTCTCTCTCTCTCTCTTTTCTTCTTTTCAGGGTAATACAAAAAAGAAAAAACTAGGCGAAAAGAAGAAAGAAGCAGCCCACAGCCCAACATCATTATCGGCGACACCACCACACGCGAAGCTCTCACCATCTTGCTTCGCGATCAGATCACTTACAACATATATATCGACTGCGTCTTCTTCGTTGTCATCACAACTTTTATTTATTACTTCAAATAACTGCTTCTTATTCATTTTTCTTTTCTCATCTTCTTATATTACATTTATTTACAATTATTAGCTTGTCGACAGTATCCTCCCAACATCTCTCAACTCATCATATATAATATATAGAGACAGGTAAATGAATATTATAAACGAAAAAGAAAAAAAGTCGAATATAATCATACGATCATAAATAATGGTAATATAGTACAATTATTAAATCGATCTTTTTTAGCACAGTGTGACCTTCTTATTTGTGTGAAGAGATGTTATTGATTTCTTTTTTTTGTTATGTGTTATTCTGGTGAACGTGATGAGGCATTTCTTTTATAGATAGAAATACTTGTACATGCGTCTTCTATTGAAGTAGTAAGTCGTTATTATGAAGAACAAGTAAGCTGATAGAGATTGAGGGAGAGAAAGAGAAAGAAAGAAGAAAAGAAAGAAAGAAAATGTGTGTTTGTGTGTACAACTAATCTTCTAGTAGCAGTTATCTCATGCATGCGACCACATGTAGTCGAGTTTTGCCGCCGTCATTATTATCTTTTTTTTAATGTCCCTTCATCAACTGTCCTATATAGAAATGAAAAAAATGAACGAAAGAAAAGACAGAAAACGAAGGTTAAAATTCGAGAGAGATCTCTAATTGATATTTGTATATGTGTACATTTAACGTACACATATACCGACAAGTCTCATTAACTGAAAAGACCATATATATAGTATTCGTCATTCATCCGTGTCCAATTTAATATAGTTTGCATATATGTTCGTGTAAAACATTCTCTCTTTTCTTGTCGACTTGTACTTTGACAAGAAAAAAAAAATGTCGTCCTTGTTGTTGCAGGAGGAGGAGATGTTCTCGCTTCCAACAACATCTAATACAGCCACACCGTCACCTCCGTCGTCGACAACAACGACGACGACAACATCCGTTCCGGCTCCTGTGGCATCTGCCGAGAAGACGCACGGAATAGCAATCGATGAGCCGTCGGCAAGTTTTATTTTATTTTTATAATATTTATTTATTTATCAATATTTTCTTTTTTAATCAGGTGGCTCATCAAGCCATTCTATTTATTCTCGATGTGCTCATACGTAACAATCAAGCTATGCCTATTGTGAAGCTTTATGATAGCTTCGCTGATCGAACATTTACACCTCAAATGTTACGTGCTGTCGGTGGTAATGAGCAAGGATTACAACAATTCTTGTTTCGCTATCCATCATTATTTACAGTCAATAATGATACTGTATCAGCTAATAGTGCAACACCAGTACGCACAATAAATTCATCGAAATCTCATCATACGAAAAATAAATCCACAGTATCATCCGCCTCGACGAACGAGGCGAATGATAATACTGGTGGAACAGATATTATGACAACATCAACATCAACTAATAATAATGAAACAGTATGGGATGCAAAAACAATGCGAGAAATCGAACAAGAAGCAATAAATTTTTTTAAAAAACAATTATCAAAACGTGAAGAAGAATGGTTACCAATTGTTAGTGTTGCTGGACATGCATCACAAGCATCTGCTGATGTACGAAAATATGTTGGACCACAAAATGAATTTAAAATCTTTCTTTCACGTTATCCAAATATTTTTATTGTTCGTGAAGATTTTTGTGGCCTTAGAGTAAATATAAAAGAATATTTGAATAAAACAAAAAAAAATATTCAATTCTTTTATTATATCTATCTATATAGGGTAAAGCAGATATACCAGGTGTACCATTTCCACCACCTTCACCTCCACCCAAACGACGTGTTGCACTATTAAATAATAACATCATTAATACTAATGGTACTAATTTAATGTTAACACGTTCGACATCATTTAAAGCAGGTACACGACCTATAATAACAAGTGGTATGACTACAAGTATGAATAATGGATCAGTACCAAGTACACCAACAAGTACTATTAATCCATCAATGCTATTATCATCTTCATCATCATCTTCATCAACAGCAACAATAGCAACATCAGCAAGTCGTAATTCATCTCAACGTTTAACACCTAATGAAGTTAAAGCTGTACATTATGTAATGCGTTTACTACATAAAAATGGTCATGTTTTACTTCAAAATGTACCTGGATTAATTGCTCGTGCACCTGATCATCTTGTTCAAACAATTGGTTTTACACGTGAAGATTTAATAACATTTTTTAAACGACATAACGCAATATTTCAATTACATATTGATGGTACAGTTAGTGTTAAATCGGATGCTGCACGTGCATTATTAAATAAAACTGACAATACACAAATATCACCCACATCTATATCATTAGTTCAATCTCAACAATCAACATCAATAACAGCAGCAGGTGTTGTTATACGTATATTTCCTAAATATGGTATTTTAAATATGGATAATAATGAACAAGTTTTTTTTGATATACAATCATGTCATTTTGAAACATTTAATGATCTTACATGCGTTCTTAATCCCGGCGATACTATGAATTTTAATGCTATACTTGGTCCAAAAGAAGGTAAAAAGAAAAAGTTGTATCCTTGAATGAATGAGAATAATAAAATCAATTACTTGAACGATTTAATAAGAGTTTTGACGTAAATCATATTCCGATAAAAATTAATTCCTTTTTTTTCTTCTTCTTTCTAAGGTTCAACAAAATGGAAATCTTTAAAAACTTGGCCACGTCAAAATAATCGTCCTGCTCAATTAATAACTCCTATTTCATCATCATCGTCATCACATATTGCTCATTCAACAAGTGCAAATAATTTATCATTAATTACATCAGGTAATGGTGGTTATATATCACCTCCATCATATGATCATTATTCAACAAATCAACAATATCAAAATTCTAATCCGTCTAACGGATACGCACCTATTGATCAAGATTTAAATGCTTATCAAATGTCTAATGATACAAATGGTGGACTTGATGAATCGATTGATAATAATAATATCAATGGTAATCAATCACCACCACCAATGTCACTTATTAATTCGACCGGTTCTAATCGACATAGTCGTCTTTGTTTACCACCATTAGATGAAGAACAATGTCCATTACCAAAAATGGCTGGTGGTCTTGATGCTGAAGTTCTTCGACGTAATTTACAACAAGTAGCACGACGTAAAAATGCAATATCATTACGTGAACAAGCTGATGAAACAGGTCGATATGTTTCTCAAGGCTGTCAAACAACATCAACAGGAGAAATTTTAGCCACAAATATACATATCGAATAAAAATAACGTTTCGTTTATTTCTCTCTTTTTTTCGTTTTTCTTGTAGTTAGCCAAGTGTGTTTTTGCATTTCAAATTTTCTTTTCATTTCTTTCTCGACTTTTTATGATCTGGCAATATGTCTCTCTATTCTTTTTTTTTCTTTCTTCTTTCTTGTTTTATACATAAAAGATATATGAAGAGGAGAAAAAAAACAACAAGCCACTAACTTTGATCAAGCTTTATTAATTACATTTTTTTCTCTCTCTAAAAGCATCACAAAGAACTTGTTGAGTTTATTTTGTGCATCCGGAAAAATGTCACGTTCCGATTAACAGACACTTAACTATAAAGTATTGATAAAAAAGAAGAAGAACATGACAATAACATGATGAACATTTCTATATGGTTGGTTTTGTTAGGATTGATTTTCTGTAAGTGTTTGTCTTAGCAAGAATTTTACATCATTTTTCGAAAAATAAATTCTAGACAAGAATATTAATGGAAGTGATATAGCAAAGAAATTATATGAAGATTTAATGCTTAAATATGATAAACGAGTGAATAATTATTAATTTGGAAGATTTTTTCTAACTGTAATTTTTATTTGACAAGGTTCGCCCTGTTTTTAATGCAACTGAGACATTAAATGTTGGAATTAGTTTAAGTGTATCACAATTAATTGATGTTGTATGAATTGATTTTATTTTTATATTTATCAGATAAGAATTTCTATTCATTTGAGGATGAAAAAAGTCAAATCATGACAACGAATGTATGGCTTAAACATGTAAAATATGAATTTGAGAATATTTTGTCTCATATAAATTGATTTAGGAATGGCGTGATTATCGATTAACATGGAATCCGGAATCTTATGATAATATCTGTATTATGCATATTCCCTCGGATGAAATATGGTTACCAGATATTGCTTTGGTATATTCTCTTTTTTTATTGTTGAACATTAACTATAGGTTTACTTTTTATATTTAGTATAATAATGCTGATGGAAAATATCAAATAACTTTAAAAAGTAAGGTTTTTTTTGGATATAATTTTAAATAAATCGTTTAATTATTTGATTAGCAAAAGCATCGGTCTATCCAACTGGAGCTATTGTATGGGAACCTCCAATGACTTATAAAAGTAGTTGTCCGATTAATGTTCAATATTTTCCATTTGGTAAGACTGATGTTGATATAGCTCATACTACTAATTCTATCTTTAGATGAACAAAGTTGTTCATTGAAATTTGGTTCATGGACGTAAGTCAATCGATTTTCTTTATCTACTAAATAATATTTATGTATAGACATGATGGAAATCAAGTTAATCTAACTCATATTGTTTATAAAGATCTTGAAATGGCACGTAATCTTGACAATTATCGAGCTCAAGGTGTATTTTTTCGTGATTATTATCCGAATGGTGAATGGGATATCATTCGTGCACCAGCAACACGTAATCAAAAACGATATTCTTGTTGTTTACAACCCTATTATGATATAACATATGCACTTGTATTGAAACGTAAAACATTATTTTATACAGTTCATCTAATAATTCCTTGTGTTGGTATATCATTATTAACATTTATTGTTTTTTATTTACCAAGTCAATCAGGTGAAAAAATTGTTCTTTGTATAAGTATTGAATTAGCATTAACAGTTATATTTCCATTACTTGCTGATTTAATACCACCAACATCTGTAATGATACCATTATTAGGTAAATATTTATTATTTATAATGATTCTTGTTGCATTATCGATATTAAATACAATTATAATTCTTGCGATTTATTATCGAGAAGAACATCATGAAAAACGAATGTCTGTATGGATGAGATATTATTTTGTTGAAGTTTTACCACCATTTTTATTATTATCATCATCACAAAAACAAAATCAATTCGAAGAAAATCAAAATAAACAAACAAAAACTTTTGTAAAATTACCTTCTGATAATACATTTGATGCGATATTTTCAAGAATGTTAGAAAATTTACTTCATCTAGGAGAAGTTGAACGGATTTTTTCAAAATTTGATACAGCTGTAACAAAAAATAAAGTAAAAGAAATAATTCTAATAAAGCATATTTTCAGTTATTTATTTTTCAGAATGCTCATGATTGGAAACATGTTGCTTTAGTACTCGATCGAATTTTATTAATTGTATTTACTACAGTATCATTAACAGGAACTATTGCAATTTTAGCACAAAGAAAACGAAGTATAATTTCTACAATTGACTTAAATAATCTCAATCAAGGAGTTTTTAATGCTTGTAATTATATACATCAATATTAAATAAATCTATAACTTTGTTGTAAAATTAGAACGATAAACAAATATGCTTTTATTATAGTTTCTTTTCCATGTCAAAGGACGCAATACAAAGTATTGAAAAGATCATATATTCTAATGAGATAATATTATATCAATTATCCAAAATGTTTACTTGATTTTAGTATAACATTAGCCATCTGTCTTTCTCATTCAATGTGCTACGAAGGTTACTGATCTGTGATATTCTGTAAATACCATAATGATATTCTCTTTCACCATTATCTATATTTACATAAATGATTGTTACACTTTATTATTATTCAAGTTGAAAGATTCATATTCTACCTGTACTGTATAATAGCTTGTAAAAATATCATGTCTTTATCATATGTTTTTTGGACCCGTTGACATGTGATTTACAATCCGTTGATAGAGAGAATAACATTTTTCATTATTATAGAAAACTATGGATGATATGGTGTAATTGTTTTTAAAATTTCCTATTATAAATAATGAATATGTGAACTACATTCTCATGCTTTGAATATCAAGGTATGCCCTTGATAGATAGCATTGAAAAACATAGTCGGTTTGATAAAAAATTAATTTTTCATAATCATTTAAATAAATACAAGGGGGGAACGAGCGGAATCCGTATTCCACTCTTTCCTCCTTGAATAAATATCATAGTCTTAAAAACGTTAAATAAAATTTATCTAATTGTTATTATATACAATTAAAAGATTGTCTGTCTGCAAACTACAATAATTTATAATAAAAAAAAATGTCGGTATTTTTAACGACTTTTTAATTTGGTTAATGTTCTAGTTAATATATTTTGACGTTTTTCACCATCATTCTTATTGTTCTCAACTGGTTTGGTAACCTCGTGATTTACTGGTACATTAGGATTAGCACGTTGATATTCATTAAATGGTTGAACAAGAAAAACAACTTCACTACTTGCATTAATAATATCAACAAACTGTGCATGTGGCATATTTTCTGTTGATTGATCATTAACTTGACGTACAACATCATTGTCATGTAGACCACCTTGTTCAGCTGGACTATTTTTTTCAATTCGATGAATAATATAATAGACTCTATTATAATTTAAATGAAATCCAAAACCTTGAAAGCCTTGTGCACGATGTAATCGTACTTCACGTATACCTTCACCATTAATCGGTGCTGATCGATTATTAACTCTGACTGGTGGTTGTGGATTTAGATTAGGTTGATTTCGATTAGTAAGTATCGACGGTGGTAGTGTATTAGATGTTTGTTGAGGAGGAGGAATAGGTTCAGGATTACGATTAACTAAAAATAAATAAAAGAATAAAATTTATTATGATAAGTAAATAAACTAACCTATGTTATTAGGAGTAGAATTTCGAGTATTTATTGGTATTGATGGAATACTTGGAGTAAAATTATTTTCTTTTGGTTCATAAGAATCATAATTATTTGAACTCGTTTGTGAATTACGTAACATTACATGTGATGTACCCATACTTGGTATTGATCGAGTATGAGGTAATGATAGATAATTATCTCTTTGTTCATTATTCGTTAATACTGGCTTTTCTTTTGTTGAATGAGGCCGCGGTTTTCGATGACGTTGATGACTATGATGATGCTGCTGCTGCTCATGATTATGATGATGATGATGATGATGAGATGGTAATGTATTTCTAGTAGATTTTAATAAATATTCATTAGGCTTTTCCGATGATACAGGAACAATTTGTAAGCTATCATCCGAAAATAATGATTTAATATACCTAAATATAAAAAATTACTACACTAATTTTCGTTACAAAAAAAAACTACCTTTCAAGATTATCATCTATAGTTTCATTTTGTTTTGACGAATATTGATAATCATCATTGTACAAGTTATTGGGTGCTGATATATTGACAGCTTCAAGTATATGAGTTGATTGGATAGTAAGTGTTAAAGTTTGAGTGTTAGCTGCGGTTTGTATAAGCATTTCTTTAGGATTTTTAGTCATCGATGATACCATACGTCCATTAAATGCTAAAACACGATCACCAGGTTGTATATTAGCTTGTGATGCAGGTGAATTAGGTTCAATTGTAACTATATAAATACCAGAAGGAAAATCTTCACCAATATATACTCCAAAACTATGATAGTCTGGACGTTTATGTAAAACAACAGTACGTTGTACAGCAGTCATTATCAAATTCTTCGTTTTATGTCTGCTCCTTCAAGGTAGAATGTGATATGTATTGCTTTTACGATTGTTTTTTTAAGTATAGAGCACGTAGGTATGTATGCATGCATGATTGACTGCTTTTTTTTCTTCTCTTCCTTTTCAATCTTTTTTTGTATCAGTTATTATTCTCTTGAATACTTACTCAACTTGACAACGAACGATGATTCGGCAAGTGTACTATGAGCAATATTCTCCGATATAAATAGATATAACATCAGATTTGTATGTCAGTATATAAACGCATGATCATGATTGGCAAACAAATGAGCGTATAATTTAAAAAATGCTGTGTATATGTCATATTTCTAGAAGTCATGACCAATACCAAAAAAAAATTAGCAGTGAGCAATACAATGTACTTTCTTTGAAAAAATATCGACTCATTTGATATGCATATAGATTATATTTATAGATAATATTAATGTATCTAATACTGTAAATAGTTAGTCCTAATTAATATTTAATGATTAACTGTCGTAAAGGTATTATGAATCAAATTTATTTTTTATATATATTTATTTTCTGAAAACAAAAATCGACTTTAATATTAGAATAGCAAATGAAATATTATTGAACATCTGTTGCTTGTAAGACAATTAATGTATATTCTTTATCTAAAAATAAATAGCAAAATATGAATAGAAATTTATATCTAAAACACAAACCCGGTGCAATTAATATTTCATGTTTTCTCGTACGCATACGAAAGAAGACAAGTTCATTTGTTGGATCAATTTCACGAATTGCTGAACGAGCTTTATCAGTTAACGATCGAATTAATGCGGCATATTGTTGAGTTACTGCGGCATCTAAAGTTGTACGTATTGGAATACCTAAATAGAAATTTATGTACGCAAGTGATTTATAGTTTTTTATTCTTACCATCATTATTTATAATTATATATCCTTGTACACCTTTATGTTCATGAATTCGTTTCAATGTATCATCAACTTCTGCCTTGAATATAAAACAATAGATATGAAAATAAAATTTTGAAATAAATCAACCTGTGTCATTCTATTTATTATCTACAAACAAAAAAAAGACATTCGTATTTTTTGAGATTAGAATTATATTATTTTTTTTAGAAATGGACGGTCAAAATAAGGCAAAATACATTAGAAAAGTAAAAACGAACGATTGTTTAATGTTGTTCATTAGCTTGTAAAACAATTGTTAGATAATCTTTGTCTAAATATCGAAAAATAAATAAATATAAAATTATAAATTATTATTTTACCAGGTGCAACAAGAATTTCTTGTTTTTTTGTACGAATACGTAAAAATGTTAGATCATTTTGTGGATCTAAATCTCTTACACAACTTTTTGCTTTATCCGAAAGTGTTCGAATAAGACCTGTAAGTGACATTGTTGTTGAATTATCAATTGTTGAACGAACAAAACTACCTTTTTACGATAATTAACAAAACAAAATTAATATTTTAGAAATTATTAATATTTTATTTTTTTTACCATCATTACTCATTACAACAAACCCATGAACACCTTTATGAGTTTGTATTCGTTTCATAGTTTCTTCGATTTCAGCTTGTTGGGTCGATACTACCGTTGAAGACATGTTTATGACAGCTGATACCCTTATACACTTTCAAATAACAAATTCGATAGACTAATGGGAAACTATGACGACCATAGAGTATTTATAAGACGTTAGTGGTACCATGGAGAACAATCATTGAGGAGGACAATGGAATGTAAACATGGCAAATTCTAGACCAATCATGTACATAGATGTTTTTAGATTATTTATAAAGAATCTATTCATTCACTTTTCTCTCGATGATTCAATTCAATATCGGATGACTTTTATTTTAAATATAAAATAAAACTAGTTGAATAAAAAATTAGAAAAAATTGACGTTAGTATCAGATAACAACTGGCGATTAAACAACCAATCCACTCTTGAATAACTTATACAAATAGAATATTACTATTGTTAAATTGTAGGTATCGAAGACAGATGTAATCAATTAGGATAGGTATGTACATGTACTAATTCGTTTTAATGAAGAACTAATATAAATTATTTGACAAATGGATCAATTCTCTCAAAGGTCGGACGATATATGCATGCGATGATCAGAAATAATATTACAAAGTTTTGTAATGATCGACAATTTACTGTATGTGTTGAATAAGATTATGAACTGTGCTGACATTCACTATGAAAAAGTATAACCCATGAATCCATCTGATAAATATTTTCAATAAGAATTTGGATGATTATCGTTCGATTTTGAATTTGAGGGAGGTTTTTATAATCCTAAAAAATAAGTGCTAGGTAAGAAACAAGAAACCACTGGGTATGCATTTCCTCATAATGCTGTATTTATTATTCGATTTGTAGGCAGATAATAATTTCATGTTGGTTATGTTATAAGTATTCGAGATAATATCGCTAATTCTTTGTTTGTATACGAATCTAAACAACAAAAAAAGAGAATAATAAATTTTATTAAATTATCAAGATATGTCATACCATATTCATTCAAAACTAGGAAATTATTTGCCAATGTTGTTTCGTTTTATATGGAATATTAACTAGATGATATTCAAGTCTATTTCATTAGATATGATGTATTCAAATAAGATAGTAATTAAAAATATTAAAATTTTATTAAGTAAGAGACATATTGATGTATAAAAATTCTTATTTTATATGGTTGCTGAACTTTATTTAATGAGAAAAAAATTTTTTACACATGGATTGATTTCGTTTCTTTTCACGCTTCATTAAATACAACAAGTTTGTATAGTTGCCTTTTTTTCATTCTTGACTCATTAACTTGTCCATATAGTCGTCATACTACACGAACATACAATAGACAAGGTTTAAAACAATACAAATAAAGGTAGATAAGAAACAAAAAAAGTCCTTAAGATAGTAATCAATTCAAAGTTTCTATACGAAATATATTTTATTGCATTTCTTTGAAAGGCAACGAATACGAGCATTTTGTATTTTAATAAAGAATTTCAACGATATACAAGTATTTTTCATTATAGAAAACTGATTATATTTCTTAATATAATACCGACATCTATCATATTTATTCTATTGTAGAGGTTTTTTCATTGATTTTAATTTGTTTGTAACTCTTAACGAATGATTTCGTTGATTTTTCTTCGACCGAGAAAAGAAAGTACAGAACAGAGCAAATGAGTTCAGTTTTATTGCACATAACACCTATGTATATTGTCTCGTCTCTTGTTTGTAGATCGATCGTTCATTTTCTTTTTTTTTTCTTCTTTACTCTTCACATATTTTGTAACATGTTCATATTCTTACAAAATGAAAAGACATTGATATGAATAGATTTTTTATTGTTATGATCAATTTGATGTTTTTTTCTCTTTAATTAATAAAAATATTCAATGCAAAGTGATTCGTCGTCGCTCGACACGCTCAAAGATAATTTGTTGCGCGCCGTCGATGCCGAATACAATGTAAAAGATTTTTTTTTCCATTTAAATTCCAAAAACTTTATCCATAAATCAAATATATTCTCTAGGTTACTAAATGTGAAGTTGTATTGGATATTATTTGTCAATTAGAAAAAATGGAAATAACAAAAGATCAATTACAAGTTTGTCGTTTATGATTTTTTTGCTAATTTTTTTTAATCTATAAAAATTCTTCGTTTTTCTCTTTTTAAAGTCAACTCGTCTTGGTCGTGAAATAAATACCATACGTCAAAAAATTGATGCAAGAAAAAAAAATCTTCAACAAATAGATAAATATGCCGATATCTATATTGAAATAGCTCAACGTGCAAAGAAATTACTTCGTTCTTGGCAAGGTTTATTGAATACTTCACAAACCGATTCAACATCTATTACATCAACGCCGCCAACAAATGGTGATACAAAACCTCGTCTTATACTTAAAGTTAAATTTAATTCACCAATAACAAAACGTAAACGTGATTTAGATTCTCATACAATTAATGGAACGAATAATAAACGAAAAAAAACTCATATTATTGAAACATCTGTACCATTACAAACACCTATTTCACCAGTTATATTAACTGAAACGAATAGTAGTTTACCACGTTTAAAAACAACTCAACAACTTTTATTGGAAATGCAAATGAATGAACCAAGTGTTTTAGCCACACAAACATCAACTGTTGATGCAATATTACAAAAGAAAATTATCGATGAAAGTCTTCATGAAACAGTTAAACTTGATTATTCCGCTCTACATAATGGAAAAGATTTCAATAATACCAATATAAAGTTAGTAAATTTTCTACATATTTAACCTTGTAATAATTATTCTGATAAAAATCTATTAGTATATTAGAAATTTGTTGTATTTGAAGAAAATATTTTCTTTTTCTTTTGATTAATTTAGTTCTACTCATTTTCAAAAACAATTATCATCAATCACATCTCCAAGCAATAATAATCATATACCCGGTTCATCTTCAAAACGTAAACCACTTATTCGACGTCCATCATCATCGTTAATAACTTCAAATACAAATTGGGAAAATGGGAGTAGTGCTGGTTCACCTATTTCACCATTATCATCGACATCTTCTTCATCATCCATGACAAGTACAACATCTTGGCCATTATCTACAATCATTCCTGAACCAACATTAACCATTCCTATTCTATCAAAATCGAAACGTCAAAAAAAACATGATGATTTATCAACTAATGAACAGTTAGCAACATTTTCATCTGATATTGCAACTATATGTGCATCATATAATACAATTGCTGATCTTATGGAAGATCATCGTCGACGCATATTAGCTGAACATGATTCTCGAGAATTAGAAGCAAGACCTGATCTATTATTAGTACCAATTGATCAACTTGCTTTTGTTTATGAACGAGAAAAAACAAAAGAATTAAATCTACCAATTCAATCAACACATTCATCTATAACTTCAATTGAAAAACTAAATCAACCATCGGATTGTATTGCTTTACCGTTTATTGATTGTCCATTTGAATTTGATCTCATACTTGATGAACTAATTGTACAACATCCGATACTAGACATGTAAATTTCTGTCTATGATCTTTTTTTCTTTCTTTCTTTCTATGTTTCCAAATCTGGTGTTTCAACAGTTTGTTTCCTTTCTCTCATTTTGTTCTTGTATGCATGTTTGTTTGTTTGTTTATTTATTTTTAAAAAGAAACAAAGAGGATAATTTCTTGGTACATATGAAATGATAAACTTATAAATTGCATGTATTAATTCTATTATTAGTTTATACTACATGCACTTATCGTATTTTATATAACATATTGACCTTTACCTGTAAGATACACTTCGATTAATCATGTATATATATATATATCTATTGCTTTATTTCATTTATCGAAATATTCCTTTCGGTCAATATACGTAACGAGAATAGATTTTATTGTGTTCGAAAAAAAAGAACAAATAATATCTATTTAATTTGAAAAGAAAATCTGGACAAAAATGTTATCACAATGAAAATGATTGAAAACAAGAGAAAAAGAAATATACAAAAAAAGAAAAACGAAAACGAGAAGAGAATCCAGTCTATCGAATTTGTAGCATGGCTGTATAGGAATACGAATCGACATTACAATGAAATTTACGTTTATATGCTCGATCAAGCCAATATCGATCATAACGATAACTATCAATAACACTTGCTTCATCAAATTTTTCATTATTAATATTATTACTTGTTTTTAAAACAAACCAACCACGTATTATTAAACGAATACGTTCTAATAATGGTAATTGTGATTGTAAAAGTAATGTCCAATATGGTGAACGTATATAATCAGTATTATAAACAAGAGTTTCCAATGAGAATCGTCTTACGGACGGTACAGAATTTAATAAACGATCAAGAATAGATGGATCAAATGGACGAAAACATAAACGAAGATATGTTATTTGAGCAAATGTATTTAATATCAATGTAGGTGAAAGAGTTTCTTCTGGTATTTTAGGTAAACTTGTACGAGGATCAAGTGTAAGAGAAAGTGAACGAAGACGTGGACAGTTTGGTAAAAGAGAAAATAAACGATCAGCATTAATGAAATCCAAAGAAAGAACTTCAGCATTACATGATGATATACTTTCAGTTTCAAGCCATTGAAGTTTCTATAGAATTAAATAAGAATATCAATAATTAAATATAGGGTGTGGGTGTGGAGATCAAAATTCGCGCGCAACTATCCTAAACCTGGCAGAAATAACAGCATATGACTTAATTCATGGCAGTACTCCAGTAGACAAGAATTTTGGAGAAACGCTCAATCGGGAACTGCGATTGTATCTTATTCACGCTCGAAAAAAAACGTCGTTTTATCGATTTTTGGCGTTAAAACGTGCCTTTATTTTTGTAGTTTTCTGCAATCTGGAAGCAGTGCATTCTAACGCTTAAAAACTAGAAATTGTATGGAAAACCCCGCCAAAAACCGATAAAACGGCGTTTCTTTCTCGAACGTGAATGCGATACAATCGCGGTTCTCGATTGAGCGTTTAAACGCGTTTCTCCAAATTCTTGTCTGCTTGGGTAGTGGAAGCATAAGTACATTTCTCTTATAAAAAAGAACAAAAAATTATTCAAATGATACTGATAAAATCTAATGGCTTTCTTTCTCGAAAAAGGGGTAAAATCTCTTCGCCGATTCAGCATTTCGCCAACTTTATAGAGAACACATATTATTGAACTAGAATGAAATGTCCTCTGTTATGATCCGATCATAATGCTGTCCTGGATGTATTAGAGTGTAATACCTTCTCGAAGTGCGATCTCGATGACAACACTTAGATCTAACAAAGCTAGTTAGATTGTAAAGCCAATGGCTAAAATTGGCGATAAGACATAAGATCCTCGAAAAACTATACTCTTGTCTTATCGATCTTTAGTATATCTTATATTTACTTCATGTAGACAAAGTATAGACACACGTATATTTGATTGATCAAGTAATGCACGTGTTATATTCGCTAATTCTTTATCATAAAAAATTTCATGTGTATTAACATGAAAATAATTTAAATATGGTAATTCTTTCATTTGTTTTGTTACTTCGATTAATTCATCATGATTTATATCGATTAATGTTATTGCATGTAATGATTGAAAAACAGTAAAGTTCGTTTGTGATAGAAATGAACGAATTTGTGGATAACGATAATAATTATTTGAAAGAATTAATGTAAATATATTGCTAAAATTCGTATTTATTAATGATAAACAAAAATTATCAAAATTTGATTTATCGATTTTTGATACATCGGCTGTTAATCGAAGACGTGAATCAAATACAAGTGAATTAAATCTTGAATTCATATTGAAAAATATTGTCCATACATCTTCAACGTTCATATATTCAAAGATGGCCATTAGTATTTCACCTGAGAGATCCTCAAAACGAGACATCTAGAAATATTCATAGTCAAATAACTTTAAAATGAAAATATTTTCAATCGGAATGTTCATTTCTTATTTACATAAACAATTGTTCAGAATAAATATGATAAAAAACAAACAAAGAAAAAGAAAACGTAATTAATTAAGCACCGGAGGTATTGATAGATCAGCATTAGATCCGTTTGAATCTAATTTAATACGTTTTTGCTGTCGTTGTTGATATATATTCATTGCCGTATGTCCAGTCATATTTAATCGGAATTTTTCTTCTTCATCATCACTATCAGCTTTTCTACTGTTTTTATTATTCATTGTACCAAGATTACGAATAAGTTCACCTTGAATAGTTATCCGGACAGGTTCAAAGCCTTTAAAAAACATAATCTTAAGAAATTGATCACTCATCAACATATAATAACTTACTATCTGGTATAACAGCACGTGCAACATATCTCATTAATTTATCGATAATAACAAATGGACCCTATTATAACAAAAATACAATCTAAATTTCTTTATTATAATTAATTTATATTACTTCGAAATTTCGTGCTGATGGAAGAGCTTTAACAAGAAAAAGTGCTGTTTCTGGTAATGGAAAAACTCCACCAGGAGTTGGATGACTACCTGGTAATGGATCTTTAGTTGGTTGAAATGGCATTAAATGTTTAATATCTGGTCGTGGTAAAAGTGCACGTCGATCACTAGCTGTTGGTTCTAATATTGCTTGACTATTTAAACTTGCAGATGAATTTGTTGACAGATTATCATTATTATAATTAAGTAATTTTAATTCAGCAGTTGAACATGGTAATAAATCAAGAATTTTATATCGATCAATGAATAATAAAGTTTCTCGACCTTCTAATTGATTTAAATCAGAATAAATATTTAATTGACGTTTTTCAACTTTTTTTATTGATTCTATATCACCTATTTGAGATTCAAATTTAACGAATTCACGCCAGATTGGTAATTGACATTGTTTTGATATTAAATTATCTATGGATAAAACACGTTCAAATAAAATACGTGCATTATGATCTTCATTTAAATGTGTCATAAAATCAATATAAGCTAATATATAATCAACATTTTGACTATATTTTTTTAAACCAAGATTAAATATATTAAATGCAATATTTTTATCTTTTGTACAATAATATTCCATTAATGCAGATGCAACATATATTTGATGATTTGTACGTAAATCTTCACGTGCACGTTTAAACATAGTTCGTGCTGCTTTAATTCCGTCAGTACGTCGTTCAAAATGCATTGCTTGTATATAAGCTAATGTTGGATCTTTTAAATTTGCTACATTTATATCGAGTAAACGATTATAAATTGTACGAGCTTTATCAATATTGAAACAAGATTCTTCAAAATCAGCATATGCAAAATGAATAAGCATATTTGAAGACATATAAGTTTGTATTGCATGTTGGTATAAATTTGATGTTTCATCACGAAAACGTTTTGTTAAATTAACATCACCGCGATTAGAATATATACGAGATGCTTTTTCTAAATAAGCACAAGCTTCGTACCTGAACAAAGAAACGTTTCACAATGGCCGCGATCATATATATATATTATTTTTCATACCACATATCAGTATGATATCCAAAGCATAAGAGACATTGTTCATAGGTAAGAATAACTCGACGAATAATTAATAAAGTATCTTCTGTTTTTAATGGATTTGATCGTTCCCAGGCAATCAGTTTTCTCCATGCTGATAATTGTTTTATTACATCAGTTGATTGTAATGATGTTGGTGGTATACATAGACTATTTCGATCAATAGAACGTGTTAATGTTTCTAATTCTTTTGCAACTCGTTTAGTATTATAAAAATCTCGAGAACGACTTTCAATTATACTTTTACCTGCTTTTGGATTGACAGTCTAAAACAAAATTAATCATATCATATCTATAGAAATATATATTTGCAAATTACCATTTCATATTTGCAATAATCTTTCCAGAATACTTCTACACCAGTCATAGGAGTAGCGATACCTTTGTGATAAATTTTTCGTACAGCTGCTATTATTTGATTTTCATCAATTTGTCTTTGAATAGAAATAATTGATTATGATATGAATAATTTATTGTCTTTTATTCTTACAGAGATCTGAGAAAATTAACATAATCATTCCAAATTGTATAAGAGTAAATATCCATTCCGATTTTTTCCAAAGCAAAATCGTATGCTTGAATCATTTTTTCCCTAGAGAGAAATATAATAAAATGTTTTTTTTTCTAATTTAAATAATAAGAAAAAGCAAAATTTTCTCAATAAAAAAAAGTAGATTAATAATCGACATACTGTGAAAAGTGTCATCGTGTTCATTTTGATAAGAAGCATGCAAATGTACAGAATGTAATATATATATAAATAATCGAAATATGAAGAAAAATTAAACAAGAAATTTTTAATTTTTTTACTTTTTATTTTTAAAGAATGAACAACAAATGTATAGTATGAAAAATGATTGATTTTATCTATACTGTGTTTATTTATAATAAAAATCAAGAAAGAATCCAACCTGAATGTTGGTAGTATGTTTTTGGTATCACGAACATAGCTTAAATAACATTTCCATAAATCAATATTCAAGACTTTAGTTAAACATTGTTGAAAAATCTAAATTAAAAGAATAGAGTTTAAGCGAACTTCCATAAAGGACGTTCAGGTAAGCCTGATAGAGTCCGGCGGAAGCGGGATCAAAATCCCGACTTTTCTGCTGACGGGACGGGTATCTCTGTTAAAAACAGGATAGGGACTACGGCATTCCGAGTAAATACATCAATGGATTTTAAGTCTAGATGAATTGTATTCACAGAAAATAGTAACGGCATTAAGGGGGTTACAGCGGACTTCAAGACTTCAACAGACTTCAACAAGCGAGACTTCAGTTTTTCGAAAGACTTCAACAGACTTCAATAGATTTCGATAGACTTCAAAAGATTTCAAAGATTTCAGATGACTTCTAGAGACTTCAAAAAACTACAAGAGACTTCAATGGACTTCACAGGTTTTGAAAAGACTCCATATGGCTTCAAAAGACTTCAGGAGATTTCAAAGACTTCAAGAGACCTCACAAGACTTCATGAGACTCCACGCATGTAGTCTCTGTTGTTTCCTCCTCGTCTCCTCGTCTAATACCTGTATCTATAAAAATTCTATAGGACTTCATGAGATTTCATAAGAGTTCATAAGACTTCATAAAACTTCAGGGACCTCTATAGACTCTAAAGATTTCTTGAGACTTCACAAGACTTCAAGAGACTTTAAAGACTTACTAAGACTTTATAAGACTTCATGCATGAAGTCTCTGTTGTATACCCCTTGTAACGGCGTCGAAAATCCTGAAAAAATACTTTGCCAGGACCAGGCTGGGATGGGTTTCTGTCGAGTGAGAGACGGTCGAGATCGGGATGAAAAATCCCGGTCCCGCTGGACCCTAGTGCTCGACTAATCTCTCTATCCGCTCTCCGCTAACCCCTCTCGCCTTTGCTTGAACGGCCTTTACGGATGATCCCTTAAAAGAGCACGAATATCAATGCATACTTTTTCAACGTTTTCATAATTTCGTCCTCTCATCTAAAGTTACAGGTATTATAAAGTTATTTTTAAAAACAATTTCCTACTTCTGATTCAATATAAATCTTCCAAAATTTTCCACATGTTGGAAATTGTGTTATCAATAATTCGTAAAATTCTCTTGCTTGAGCAATTTTCTTCTCCTTAAAAATTCCATAGTATAATAATTTTGAAATTGTTCGAAGTAAAAATTTCAAAACTAACTTGAGCATCTTGAATTAATATAGCCCATGACTCAAGTGAATATTTATTTTCATTAATTATTCGTCGTGCTTGTTGAATGCTTTGATTACGTGTTAAATTTTCACTCATTGTAAATAAAAATATCTAAAAAATAATTTTTTTTTGGGTTTTAGAATCATGCACAAAGAAAAATGTTTATTGAAAGAATGTTTTTAATTAAGCATTGAACGACGAACAGAACGTAAAGCTTGAACAAGAAAGTAACCAATAATGCACGTATAAAAAATTCGATCACGAGTTTCACGTTGAACTAACTTTCGTTCGATTTGATGAACACGATTTTGAAGTAATTGAAGTTTATTAGAAACATGTTTATCATCAATAGTCGTATTTAATGATTCCATATGCCATCTAATCAAAAACAAAAATGAATAGAATACAAGACTTCATTTATATTCTTACGAATCAACAAGTGGAACTGGTTGACGTTCTTTTCTAACATCAACTGATGTATAATCATCATCACTTGTCGTATCAATATCTTTTGGATGAAGTATTGATGGAAGTGATGGTTGTTGAACAATAGAGTCTGATAAATGATTTGATTCTCCATTTGTAAAAAAATCAGTATCATTAAGCATAACCATACTTCCATTACCACCTGTATGAAAGAAATTCGATTAGGAAAAGTTAACATACAAAATATTTCCTAACCAGGTCGAAGTCGGTCTGGTACTTCCATACGTATAGGTACTCGATCGTAATCTTGATCAAGACGAGGATGTGTTGATCGAGTTGGACCAACTGTAATTGAGTCTGGAACATGCATTTGATAACCTATAAGAATTATTTATTACTATTAGTTATGATTAATTAAACTTACTCATATTTGTAATATGATTAAGATCAATTTTCTTTCGTACTAAATCATCTGGATCATCAGCTGAATGACTCATATTTTGTTTTTGTAAATACACAATCTAAAATTTTTTTTAGTAAAGAAAGTTCTGTTTTTATCCTTCAACTGGAATATATCATCATCTTGATAATGAATAAAGAAAGGTTTAGCTTTTATAAATGAGAAAAGAAGAAAAAAGAAAAGAAAAGATAAACAAATAGATAGAAACACACCAGTAAAATCATGCGAGAAATGGAGAAAAAAAAAGAAAAACGAGCGAAGGTACATATATATAAATATAAATAATACGAGGACATTATCCTAATTGAATAAGAAATGAAAAAGATGTATAACATTGTCATTGTGACATTAATGATTGTTGTTGTTTAAATATAAGAATTGATTCCGATGACCAATAAAGATTGCATGACTTATAAACTATAAGAATATTATTTAAATATATATAAACAAAAATTTCATTACATACCTAAAGTCCATACATAAGGTACAAAAAAATCTTCTGGTTGTTCTTCTTCAACATATTTAAATTTTAATTCCGGAAATTTCTAAAGTAAGATGAAAAGATTTCGAAATAATTATGTATTTATTTACTTTCAAACGATCCATTGGAAATTGTTTAGCACCCATTTCTAAAGCTTCTTTAACATATTCTGTTGAACGTTGTTCAAGTTTATCGACTTTATCAGCAAAATAAACAATTATCTAAACAGTAATAATATTCTTTTAAGTTTTTCGCTGGTCATATATGTTACTCTAAGGTAAAGACTTTATTGTTTTGTATAAACTTATTCATTTCCTTTTTAAATATCGGTTAAGATAAAGAGAGAAACTTTTCATGTCTCATTAATATAATTACAAGTTCGAACTAATCTATTAATACTTACTGTATCAATATTTTGTAAAACATCTTGAAAACTCGGATGTGTTCTATAATTCTCAAATATATTTCTATTATAAAGTAATGTATAAATTAAATTAATATTATGTCTAAGTGTATGTGTTAAACATGAATTAATTATTTCTAAGACCATTCTCATAACATCTTCAATAATGGTCAAATCTTGTACATATTCATTAAGTACATCATCATTTGATGTTTGTTGTTGTGATGATTGTTGTTGTATATGATCTAATGTTTTTGAATGTTTACGTGCAAGTAAATTAAATAATGAAACAATTCTTTGTGATACATAAGTATGTAAATTTTGAAATTGTGATGACATATTTGCTAATGCAGCAAGACAATTTGTATGTAAATATTTATCACGCATACGTGTCATGTTAAATTGTATTGTACGAAGAACAACAGCAACAAGTAAACCTCCCAAACTTATTTCATTTAATGACCGTTCAGTATACCTGAAAAATCAATTTTTGTTTTTAGTGTTTTGGTTATACTATGTCACAAGAATAATGAATTCTTCTATACGTTTAGATTGTATATATGAATACGTAGAGAATATTCAAGAGGAAAGGAAAACTATTAAAATCTAATATTGCAGATTATCAACATGCTTCTATATCACACAGATCGAGTAATAATCACTGATTAAGTTAACGACAATTACTTTTACAGTTTTGATCAATCGTTAACAAAGCTCAGCATTACACTCGAAGTTATGTCAATTAAAAACTGAGACATATTTCCTATTATATATAATAGCTTAATACTTGATATGATGAGATTTCAAGGAGAAAAAAATTCTAAATTCCTCTCTTTATATATTACCATGTTAATTTCTTCAGTTTAATATCATGAATTGTTTTATTAAAATAATCATCTTCAGATAAAATCAATAAAATAATCAATGACATATAAATATGATGTGAATTTCTCTCAGTAGCCGCATAGATTACTCGAAGTACAGGTAATACCTATTAAAGAATAAGATTAAATTTAATATTAAGAAAAAAAATAATCATAACTTACAATTTGATCAATATTTGTTCGTGAAATAACATAAGCTTTAAAATGTTGATTTCGATGTAATAACATATAAAGTAATAATGTACTTTGATCAGTATGTACTGTTTGACAAAGTACATCATATAAACGACGATAATCAACAGAAAACCATGGTAATGGTTCAGAATCAGGTAAATTTGTTGGACTATCTGAAATATTACATAAATTTCGTGTTTTTCTTGAAAATAAATTCTCTGTTTACCTTGTGTATCAGTAAAATGTAATAAAGCCAATCGATAAGGATTACGATGAGCATCATTTGTAAAATGATTACTTAGAATTAAAATTAAATGTATACTTTGATTAGCTAAATGATGATTACGAAGATCATATGCTGGATCAGTAGGAGATACTGTTCCTTCAGAAGCAGTAGTAGTTGTTGGTGTTGTTGTTGATGAACCCATACCGAGTGTAACCACTGACCAAAGACCAGCTAAATATAAATCATTATTAAATGCTCTCATGTCCTTAAAAATGAATGACTTACATGCAACACTTTGTCCAATTTTATATAAAGTTCCACTATCACCATTAACATCATTCAATGGAACAACAGCTAATGCTGATGGACAATCAGTTTGTTTAATAAAATGTTCTAATAAAGTTCGTGTAAATTCCGAAATTAATAATGGACTAAAAACAACATATGATAATTTATCAATAAAATAGAAAACATTTTCATACTCAAGTCTATGCATGAAAATACTATAAATCGAACTGATCAATGCTGCTTCTTTAGCACACATTTGAATTGATAAAAGTGAAAGTAATGTATTTAATACTTCTAAATGTAATGCATATGTATATGTTTCAACCGGTATAGCAATTGTCGTTCGAAATAAAGTATCAACAAATAAACTCATTAATGATAGACGATCTGAATTCTCTTGTGGTAAAAAATATGGATGAAGATTTTGTTCGGAATCAATTTCAATAAAATATTTTGTTACACAACGAAGGATAAATAAAGCACTGTAAGTTTGCCATATAACAATATTACTAAAGCAAAAAGAATTTTATTTAAGAAGATAGATGATAAGTTTTGAAATAATATACTCATCACAATCATCACGAATAGCTGAAGCTAAACGAATAAAAACTTCAATAAGTGTTCCATAATTATTTGTTTTCGGATTATTTGCTTCAAATTGTTGTAAATAGATTGAACATGTTTCATCAATTAATTTTGAATGAGCACTAAATTAAGATTTGATTAGTTAAATCAAATAAAGAAATGAATCTTATTTATCATTACGTAGTAAATGGAGATTGTAAACGAAATGATAGAAATTGATTCCAAAATGGATCATTGACGGATATTGATTCTTCACTAACAAAACGTGATAGATACTCGTTCGATTTTAAATTATTTAATGAGGAATATTGGGCACCCATTTTCTTTTTACAAAATTTATTGTCTTTTAAATCATATGTAAACGCATCATCAATGGTAAGGAAATAGGTGGATGATGCATATAGTATACATGTACAATATATTATCAAACAGGTCTATTAGCTACCAATTGAATTAACTCGCATGACCTTTAATATAAGATAAGTCCATTTTTTGAGTTTAAGTTTAATGTATCAGAAAAATAAGTTTTAAAATATTTGAAAAATTGGTTGAAATAAAGATTTAATTGTAAGAAGTTACAGATGTCGCTACTATTTAATGTAAATGAGTCGATTAATGTGACGGATGGTTTACGAAATCAATCGGTAGATTTATTCTGTTATTTATGATTTTTATTTTTACATGACTTCAGTCGTTGCAGGTGTACCATTGTTTTTCTTATATGTTTCTCCTGATTTTGATGTTATATATGGAAGTACAGAACGAAATGTTTGCATAAGGCAACTATAAATAGATGTACGGATTATATTTTAAAAACTGAAAAGAAGAAGTAACAATGACAGCAACACCTTCGATGAGTAATGGCATTGACCTCGACAATATCTATCTTATATGGCTTGATGCTAAAATTGATGAAGAAACTCAAAAACATTTTCGTTCGATCATTCATCAATTTAAAGCATTTGAAAATATTGAAGAATGTGAAAATTATATACGCGATAAATCATATTATGATCGAATTTTTCTCATTGTCAGCGGACAACTAGGTCGTCAAATAGTTCCACGTATTTATCAACTTCGACAAGTCTCTTCTATTTATGTTTATTGTCAAGACAAGCAAAGAAATAAAGAATGGGCTCGTAAATTTACTAAGGTAATTACAAAACTATGTATTTTGATATTAGGATATTTATATATTCTATTCGATAATAGGTAAAAAGTGTTGCTGTAGAATTAAAGTCACTTATTAATCAAATTCAATCTGATTATTCAAAACATATTTCACATAAAATTGACGAAGCATTTCCAATAACTATTTATTCCTCAGATAATGTATCCAATGATTATTATCATTCTCAATTAATTATTGATACTCTTCTTCAAATGAAAACAATTACAACTGATAAAGACGAACTTATTAAAATATGTTCGAATATATATTCAAACGATAATAATACATTATTAATAATTCAAGAATTTGAACAAAATTATCATTCTAATCAAGCATTATGGTGGTATACACGTGAATCATTTCTTTGTCGTTTATTAAATAAAGCATTAAGTATCAAAAATCTTGACCTATTATTTTTCTGTGGATTTTTTCTTCGTGATATACAAAAACTTATAGAAAAAAATCAATGTAATGCATCTATACAAGTTTATCATGGTCAATTAATGTCAAATGATGAATTAAATACACTCCTAAATTCTGTGGGACATTGTATTTCAATAAATACATTTTTATCGGCAACATTTGATCGTAAACAAATAATATCATCTTTAAATGAATTTTCTACACAAGAAGGTTTAGTACGAGTATTATTTGAAATTGATGCTATTACTTCAACAGATAAATCCAAAGCATTTGCTATTATAACCCAATTTACATATCTTCCTGTTGAAAAACAAGTTTTATTTATGTTAGGATCAGTTTTCCAATTGATTGATATTTGTTTAGATAGTGAAAATAATTTATGGATTGCTAAAATTGTTTTAGTTAATATTAAAAAAGATTATGATGAAACAAATCTTATTTCATGTGGACATTTACTAAGACAAATGAAAAAATTTGATGATGCTGAAAAATATTTTTCTCGTCTATTAAAAGAAATACCTGAAGATCATGAAGATTTTTCACAATGTTATCAAGCACTTGGTCTTATATGTTTTCAAAAAACTAATTATGAATTAAGTCTATATTGGTACTCTCAAGTAATAAACCTTTTAAAATCGAATGATCCAAATTTAGCTAGTACTTATTATTCTATTGGTTGTATTTATCAAAAATGTGATGATTATAATCAAGCATTAGAAAATTATAATGAAGCTTTAAATATTTGGAAAGAAATTTATGATGATAATAAACCAATTGAAATGGCTGAATGTTTAAATAATATGGGTTGTATATATGAAAAAGAAGAATTCTATTCATTAGCATTACAGTATCATCAAGCAGCTTTATCTATACGTGATAAATATCAAATAGATATTGGATCAACATATAATAATATTGGTAATATTTATTTTTGACTTGGCGAATATGATGTTGCATTAGAAAGTTATCTTTATTCATTCGAAATGAAAATTAAAACACTTTCATTAGAAGATCCATCGTTAGGAAAAACATTAGCAAATATGGGTCTTGTTTATGAAAAAGATAAAAATTTTGAAGAAGCTTTAAAAGCTTATAGAAGAGCAGCATTAATTTTTGAAAATATTTTTTCATCAACAAATATTTATAATATTCAAATTCAGGAAGATATTCAACGTGTTACAAGTTTATTAAAATCTAAAATTTAAAACAACAAATTGTTTGAATTTAATTTTTTATCATTTGGCTAATAGTGACTAGGATGTGGGTGTGAGAGGGATTGACGGAAAATGTCGAAAAAATAATAGGAAAATATCGAAAGTAGCAAAAACGAAGATTTCAATGATAAATAGGAAAATATCGAAAGGTAAATATAGAAAAGTGGAAAACATAGAAGCGAACATAAGCATGAAGGGAGTGAAAGGAAAACATAGAATGGAAAATATAGAAAAAATAAAAATAGATTTTAAAAAGATGTCTATATTGGTCGTTATTTTATTGTTGCAATTACTATTAGCCATCACTAGAGGGTGTGGGTGTGGGAATCTCTTCTTTTATCAGGCACCTGGACTCTCTCCGCACCTACACCCACACTGACCCATACCTATCGTGTCATATTAAAATAAAAATTAAAAACTCCACTTTCGATATTTTGTCTGTCTACATTTTCCTACTGATTATGTATTCTATTCGACGTCAGTCTTTTCGGTCTTTATACTACATACTTTTTCCATTTCGATATTTTCCTTGTTTTCTTTTAGACATTTTCCTATTCGACATTTTCCCTTTCGACATTTAACACCACATCCGTGGGAGATTGGCGATGAGATATTATTCCATTCTATCATTTACTCCGTGATGCAAACACTTTTAAATTTCTCTTCGAGTAATTCATAAGCATATGTCATAAATGTCACCTTTAAAAGTATTTCTTCTTACATGAGTCACTAAAATATCACATCGTGTGTAACTTTATTATTACCTATAATTTACCATTTCTTTTCTTTTTAAATATAATATTTATTCAGTATATGAGTCATAGTTGATTGACGAACTTACATAATAACTCGTCATTCCTACAAGTTAGTATAAAATTTTGAATAAAACTTACTTTTTATACATATTTCATTCAGTATGATTGGAAAAGCAATTCTTGAAGATTTACCATCTGAATTATGGTTAGATATATTTACTTATTTAAATACACGAGATCAATATAATGGTTTTTATAATTTAAATACAAAAATAAATCAATTTCTTCTTAGTTATCATTATCATATAAGTTTAAAACATAACGATGAAAATAGTGAATATTTATGTGAACATGTTCTACCAGATTTAACACATTCGAAATATATATCAAGTTTAAGATTGGAAAATATTAATCAGGTTAGTTTTGTTTCTTTCGATATACGATCATTTATGATTATATCATTTAGATGAACATATTTCAAAATCTTACTTTATTACATTTTCCTCGTCTATATTCTCTAACACTCTCTCGATTACATATTACAAATACTATTCTTGATTTACTTCGATATTATGCTCCACATCTTCAATATTTAAATATAAGTTTATTTGTATCAAACAAATGGAATATACTTCTTGAATCAATTTTATCATTACCAGTATTACAGATATGTTATTTAAATCTTGGCATTGCTCAATGTCCTATTAAATCATCGAATATATTAGAAAGTCCTATAAAACATTTGACTTTAGTTGGTTCACATCACTCTTGTTGTATGAAGAAATTAACTTCTCTATTAAATCATCTTCCTTTTTTAAATTCATTATGTATCAAATGTAATAAATTAGAATGCAACCAGATTATATCGAATCAAATTCACAACAAATCATTATCTTGTTCTAGCTTTTCTCTTACAATTAATAATTTACCTGAATTATTTATTAATTTTACCTTGTTTTTATTTACAACAATGCCTCATTTGGAAAAATTAAAGATCAAATGTTGTAACCCATTATTAAATTTAGTCTATATCAATGTTTATCTATGGATAAAACTACTTGATTTATTGATTAATCTAAAAGAAATCGTATTAATTTTTACACTGGACAAAACGATCAACGAGAAAAGCTGGAATAAACGATATGAAGACTTACTAAAATTTACTAAATTACGACATATTAATTTACGTATTATTTCTTCGAAAAAATAAAAAGCGCATATATTTTAACGGATGAATGCACGGTTGTTTTATCGATTTTAATTGTTTGAGCTTTAATGCAACAACAGCAGAGGGAGAGAATAAAAAAAAAAGTATAGTATATGCGTTGATAAAAAAGAAGAAAAAGGAAAGAAAGGCCTAGTCGAACGTTAAGAAACAAAAAATGAGTACACGCATGTATATACACCATATATGATGACTCACTAGTTTCAATGTGCGCAAAGTGAGGTCATGCGTAGGATATTTTTTGTATAATTTTCATTAAGTAGGAGTGATGTGAGTAAAAATTATACACGTTTTGAATACTTCACAGCTGTAAGTATCAAAAAACAATATTTGCTCTGCTTCGTCTTAGTTTTTTTGTCTCTTTATCAATGAATTTCTTATAGGTATAATCGATCGAATAACATCAATGTTTCTGTTTACTTTTGTTTTGCTTGTGAATGAAAAATTTGTACGACTGTGTTCAATTATATTTTTAAAACATCTGATTGCGAGTGGTGTCGTGCAATTTCTTTTTTTCTTCTTCTTTTGTACTCACAAATTTGATCATTCATTTTCATATTTCATCGATTACTCTATTAGGTTACACTAATAATATACAATCAATTTAATCTCAATCCATGACATCGAGCCTTAATATTTATGCTATTGCTGCGATTACATTTTTACAATCGTTGTGTGGTTCTATTCTTGCCGTTGTTGGACAATATATTTATGCATTCTATCTAAAAAATGATCCATTTGTATCAAATATGACACTAACAATGTCGAATAATAGTTCGCAATCATCTATTTTACATACAATGAACAATAATATGACATGTGGAAACGATTCAAATACAACGACAAGTCAAGCTCAAATATGGGCACAACAACGTTCGGCCGATCTATTCTTTTGGATTGATCTATCGAATGGTATTCCGGTAATTATCATGACATATATACTTGGTTTGTATACACCAAAATTAGGTGTACGATTTGTAGCTCTACTTCCGATGTTGGGTACTGTTGTTCAATTGGCCATTTGGCTAGCAATCATCTATTTTCATCTTCTTGAATATTGGTGGATTATTTCTTCTATTATCCTTGGTCTAACGGGTTCAATTGGACTTCTTAGTAATTTATAGTTGACTACCTTTTCTTTATCTTCCAACTAATTTATCTGTTTTTTTTTCTCATTTTATTAAGATCTTGTACTGATGTTGATTATTATTGAAGGTACAATCGAAAGTAAACGTTCATCTCGTATTGTTCTTATCGTCAGCATAACAACAAGTGTGGAAGCTGGTGCATCCTTCGTAATTGGTTATTACATTGCATGGCGTGGTTTTATTGATCTGTTTTGGGCAGCTTTAATATTACAATTAATATCAATTATCATTACTATTATCTATATTAAACCATCTCATGTTAAACTTCAGACTAGAGAAATATCCGAAAGTACAACATCTCTTTTAACTGAATCACATGATGATATAGAAACATCGCCGTCAGGATGGGCTCATCTTTTCGAAGTATTTACTGTATTTTCATTTAAACATCGATCGAGAAAAAAATCTATCAGCATCTATCTAACAATGGTCTCGTATGCGTTTAATGTATTCATAGGTTCATCAGCAGCCGCATTTCTTTGGTATCTTTTAAATGTTCCATTTTGTTGGTCATCTTCTGAGATTGGAAATTATACAGCTGTTTCTGCTATTACTTCTGCTGTTTTCAGTCTACTCGGCATGCGAATATTAACACGTATTGGTGTTAGTGATCCATTTATTTGTGCTATTGGTTATATCTGTTTATCCACATCGACTATTTGGATAGCATTTGCTCAACACAATTGGCAAATGTATGCCGCTTTGGCTATTAGTTCATTTTCTACCTATCAAGATTCTTTAACATGGTCAATGTTATCAAAATGGTTAGAACCACATGAACGAAGCAGTGCATTTACATTTTTTACCGAACTCAATGCAGTCATGTATGCTTTGGGTAGTTCATTCTTCAATTGGTTCTATGCTCGTACAGTAGTCTATTATAGAGGAACTACCTTATTATTTGCTGCTAGTCTTGCTATTATACCATTTATTCTTAACATGTGAGTCATGTTCATTTGCAAAATTAAAAAAAATGAAATCTTATATTTTCTCTTTTAGATGTCTCTTATTAGTTACTCGCTATATGACCGACGATGGATACGTTCAAGTATCAATATTGGAAGTTGATATTGAAACAACATCATCTAATTTACCAACTCTTGTTCTACCAGAAACCGATAGTGATATTATTGATCTTTCCAATCCATCTTCGCCTCTACTAATATAGTTCATTGATCAATCATTCACTAATTCACAGGCGACAATTATGAAATGAAACATTTGTATTTTTCTTGAATTTGTTTTATTGCTAATAATACACATGTGTGTGTTAATTTTATTTTCAGTATGAATCAAAAGATGATTTAGAAATGAGAGAACGCATTTTAAAAAATAGAAAAAAATCGAGTCACTTTTTCCAAGTTAATTCTCTGAATGACAGAAAAGCTCAAAAAGCTCAGGGTGGATATGGGTGTCGGTGGGCAGTGTGGTATGAGTATCTTAATCATAACATACCCACAGCCGCACACCTATATTCACACCCACACCCTCAAGATCGACAGTTGATACTGGAGAGCAAATATCATGGAAGAGCAAATGTCGCGAGAGCAGATGTTGTTGGAGCATCTTTCATGGATTCCTCTTGTTATAGTTACTTACTATCAATTAAACGCATGAGAGGGTGTGGATGTGGGTGTCGGCTCGAGTGTTTACTCATTCTACTCACACCCACCTTATCCACACCCCCAAGTCGTACACAAAAAAACTGTTTTTCAAAATTTCACTAATCTATTAGGATGTGGGGAATGATCAAATAGCATAGAAAAGTAAAGCGAAACACGCTCTATCTATTGGTAAAAAAAGCAAATATTTTTAGGCTTCTTCTTAAGGAAGTAAGATACTTCCCTCACTATTATTATTAACGGCAAGGGTTAGAGCGGTGTCTATGCACCATATAATATCCATTGAGAATATTATCTGGCTCTCCCGGAATTCCATTTATTGTCTTAATCTTGTTGTAAAGAGGTTGACCTTCTTCCCATATGCGTTTGTTCAAATTCGCGTCGTTATTCCAGTAGTCGTAAACTACTTTATGATGTACAAGCATATCACAAACACCAGCTCCAGCCGCGTTATGTCTCGCAATTTCCAGTAGCATAGTTTTCATTAAATAAACATGCGTGACCAATGCCTCTCGCCGCCCAGCGATCATATTTGGAGTATGTACTTTGGACATGTATGGAGGATATTTCTCGCCGAAGCATTTCTCCCAGTTTTCTAACATCCATCTTCTACCAGGGGCACTTTCATAAGCAAAGAATATATCTTTAGTAAAATGCGACAAAAAAAAGTCAATTGGATTCTTGTTAATAGTAACATCTGATACATCTGTGATCACCACGTATTGAAGATCCTCATGCATTCGTAAGAAGTCGTATAGGGCGATAAATTTCCATTCAGCCGGCCAAAGTGCAGCAGGTAGCGACGACTGATTACTGCGTATAAATATGAATGAAGGAGTTGTATAATTGTCAATAATCTCCTTCTTCAGACCATCATGCAACATCACACCGTGCAAACCTTGCTTATGTATAGAGTCATGCCACACTTGAAAATAGTCAGAACAGTCCTTGTAAACATTTCTCTTTTGTGGTCGCTGAGGATCTGTTTTTCCCGTGAAAAACACGCCGACAATAAGAATGGACGGGGGCTGTTGATGTTTAAAAAGTGAGGACATTTCAGTTAATTGTTCATTCAACTCAGTAACTTGTTCGCAGCGTTGCGATTTATGCTTGAATGATAGACCTGAAAAATACATTGTTGACATTAATAGCAAAGATATAGAAATTAGAGTAAAAGCAAGTCGCCATGGACATCTCGCTTGGAGTATTGAGACTTGAAATGATGCTGGGATAAATTTGTTGATGATATGTGTCATGTCTATAATGGAATCATGTAGCTGTGACACAGTTGAAGTCAACAAATGAAAGCTATCTGAAAATGAGAAACCTTTATAATGTCTTCAAATATAGTATATAAGGGTTTGGATCTAGGTTAACATAACAAACGGGAATCTCACCCACACCCTCACGATGGTTTTGACCTTCAGTAGACTTTTTTTAAATCTCCTTTTAAAAGTTGAAATTTTAAATTGTAGGTATTCCACACACACTGTCAATGCAGTAAAATTCAAATATCTGCTTCTAAGCAAGCCAACAGTCGCTAATATACTAACCTTCTTGGTTCAGCGGTGAGCGAGCTTTCATTTCTCCTTACTATGCAGAGTTTCTAATGGAAATCTTGAGAGTGTGGGTGGGTGTGAGATAGACAAACACTCACACCCACACCCACAAGTTTGCTTACAAAGTTTTAGAAATTTTAGACAGATTATCTTCGAGATATGAATCCATCGAAATATTCATGTGAAACCTAATATCCATAAGAAAGCGTCTCTATGCTAACATACTTGTATCTCGAAGACAGTCTCTCCGAAATTTCTGAAAACTTGTAAGCAAGTTTATCTGATTGAGGTCTTAGTGTGGACACAGTTTCAGGCCTAAATTCGAAACTTTGATTTTACCGCACAGATAAACATCAACTTGGGCACATATTCTTTTAGACTTTTTCTAGTCTATGTATCCTCTACTTGTGAGCAAAATTGACGCTCAAAAGCTTTTTAATACCTCGGGAGATTCCTTCGTTAAATAAGTCAAAACTCAAATTATTGTAGGATGTGGTGTATTATCTTAGTTGACTGAAAATATGAATGAATCATCTAGAAACAGAAAAATATATTAGAGTATTGACTCATTTGCATTGTTATTATTGATTGAATTGAATGTGAGAACGAATATCGCTTAGAAGAAACGGTCTTTATATACAGTCTGGGGCTAGGAAGAAATAGGATTAATCATATTCGAGAATGTTATTCGATTTGCATAATTTTGAGTGAAGACATAGGACTCTTCTAAATACTATTCATCGATGCATTAGTTATAGAGTATGATTCAATATTTATTTTATTCATTTCTTTATATACTCTTCCCGCTGCCGGTATGGATTGAGAAGCATAATACAAAAAATATGAAAAACAAAAAGAGTCTATTTTCAAAGACCTGTCCGACTTGAGGGTGTGGGTGAGTGTGTGGGTGTAGGCGTGAATGAGGAAGAGACATCCACACCCACACTCCGCTTGTATGAAAGCTAATAAGCCAGACAGCAGCGATGTTTCTAAGTGGTGGCATGGTATAAATGAAAATATTTTTTTCTTCCTTGCTTATATAGAAATAAAAGACCGAAATTGATTTGTTTTGCAAATACAGCGTTACATAGTTTCTTTTCCAACCATCGAACTTATGCGTCTGTTTGAGTGGATCAAATCACACTTCATTAGCGGTATAAATTATGTAAAACAGTATTATACGCTGATATATACCTTTTTTTCTTCGTTTAACTTTTTCTTGTTCTTAGAGGTTCATAGGCTGACGCTGCTAGATATTTTACAGCACTAAATTTAACTCAGAATATTTGAATACGAAGATTTGATAGTTTTGATTTGTATTAAATGCATCGAGAAAATAATCCGTCGAATAATCAAGCGTTGTACTATCCGAATTGTTCTAAAACCTTTTCAAGAGCTTGAACGATGTTTGGTTTAGAACGATTACAGTTTGTGAAAACAATATTGGTATATAATTCATTATCAAGGATTTATTATTGAATATTTTCATCAGAACAGTCTGTTAGATTAAATTCAAAGATTTGAAATAGATAGTTATAAGGCTAATGAACCTTCAGTATATATAAAGCGCGTAATTTGACCGACAGTTATCAAAACTTAGAGATTATGTGTTCAAAGTATTCTGTTTGAGTGCATTATCAGTTACATCAGAATGAATGAAATAATTGAAAATATATCTCGTAAAGTCTCATAGGTTCTTATGAGAAAAAAAGAGAAATACTCGCTAAGTACTCTTAGTCTCCACATTGATCAGATCTTGAAATCCATATAGAATATAAAAGAAATGAACTTATACATAATCAAAATCTATCTTACTTTTCCCATACTCTTCAAATGCAACTAGAATGAAGAAGCGGGTAAATTTATCTTATCTTCTCGTCAGTCTTGAATGCATCGAGGATCAGAAAGGAAATGCAATAATTAATACTTATCGCTCTGATCATACTTTCAACTTACTTTTGGCGTGACTCAAAATATCAAAATACACTTCTTGAGAATATACGATAGATTCATATTACAAGAGAATTATCCCGAGTATTCCCTCGCGTTTTTAATCATTCTATATCTCATTTCATTGAATATATTGAGATACTAAAAAATCTATAGACATTTCTGTCCATAACTCGTCATCTCAAAGCTATAGCCACGGGTGTGGGTGTACGTGTTGGTAGCTTATCCGCACCAGATCCACAATAATACATATGTTAATTTAAAATAAATTCAAACTTTTCTTCTATATAGAAATATAAGTTAAAAGAAAAAAAAACGTGTAGTTCAAACGCATAAAAAGTGCTCATACAAAAATGACAGTGTCTATGGAAGAAAGGTCAATTCCGACATCAAAATAAGCACTTCCATTGATACCATATGAAGTCTGATACGTGGTTCAAAGCTGTAACTGGAAGGTGTGGGTGAATATAAATGAAGATGAAACACCCACACCACACCCACTCATACCCAATACTAAATAAAACTCGTAGATCAGGATTAACGTCTTTGAATTGTAATATACATTCATACATGCCTTTCGAATTTACAGTCCATCCTTTCAAATCATCTTCTTCATAAGGTGCTATTGTTAAACTTTCAAGTGCTTTACCAAAAGCAAAATTAATATGTGTACATAAAAATGGATCGATATCTTCGAGAGTTAAACGACTAATATTATCATGTCGTTTTGCTGCTTAATTAGCAAAATAACAACTAATTTTTATATAATAATAAGAGAATATTGTTTTTGTAAAAATTTTTATTGACTTACACACGTCGATAAACAAATGCTGTTTCTGATGTTTCATTTTGACAATTTGTTCGAACTAGAAAAAATAAATAAATAATTAGCATTATTTGTACATATAATGACAACTGAATTATTTCGTTAGACGTTCTTTGAAATGAAATAAACCTGTTCTAATCTCTTTCGCATACAATGCCAATGAATGTATATTATGATAGTTGCAAACAGACGATTGATGACATAGAAAAAAATGCTTTATTTGTTATCATTACTGTGGAACACAAATATAGAGAAAAAAAATACGAGTTACAATAGGTGAAATGTGTACAAGAATTGAGCACTCAAAAATTCCAAACAGAATACCGGCTATAACATCTGATATATAATGACGTCCTAATAGAAGCCGAGAAGCTACAACAAGACTTAACCAAATAATAATAAAAGAAGATGGCAAATGTTTAAAAAATGATGTTTGAATAAAATAAAAAAGTAGAAATACAGCTCGAGATGTACGACCACTAGGAAAAGAAAATTTATCAGGCCCAATTGCTAGAACATCATTATGATTAACTACTGGTCTTGGACGACGTATAAGAAATTTAGTTGTACCAATAATAACTATATCAAACATAAAACCTGTAAAAAGTAAAATATATTGCATTGCTTCATGTATGGTTGTGTAATGAAGTGCAATCATGATTACTGAATAAGGAATCCAAATATAAATTGAACCCGAAAATTCCAAAAGAATAGCAAATTTTCTTAAATAAAGATATGGAGAATCTAATCGAGCACATATTGCACTACGAATTGATAATTCATGATCATAATAATTAATTTTTTTCAACATCTAAAAGATTCTACCAAGAATAAACCCGATAATAATGTCATTTACAGTCAACAACAAAATTTTAAGCAAATTTGATTTTTTCCTGATATTAACGAGTATCCGTTTGATTCAAATGGTGATCTAGGTAATATGAGAGACCTACTGCATGATGTACTGCGAGCAGTTCTTTCCTTTGATTTTATAGATTATTCATCGCGAGGGTGTGGGTGTATGAGACTGTCATGATCCGTTTCGACTTTTCTTAGGGGTCCCAGCATATAACATCATATATCACTTTATGATCAGAATTTGAACTAAAGTCGACTAAGTAAGTCAAATTCAATTAAAATTATTCACAAGTATAACAATTACACTGCTATGAGTTAATTGAAAATATAAATGAATAATCTAGAAACAGAAAAATGTATTAGAGTATGGACTCACTTGTATTATTGTTGTTGATTGAATTGAATGTGAGAGTAAATATCGCTTAGAAGAAGTGGTCTTCATATACAGTTTAGAATTAGGAAGAAATCTGAATAATCGTCTTCTAAAATGTTCTTGGAAATTGCATACTTTTTGAGTCAAGGCGTAGGATTCTTCCATATACTATTCATCGATGCATTAATTATAGAGTATTATTCAATATTTATTTTATTTATTTATTTCTATACCCGTATCGTTACCGGTTGGGTTGACAAACATAATACAAGAAAATGAAAAGAACAGAACAAAAACAAAAAAAACATGAAAAAGAAAAAGAATGTAGGGTGTGGGTGTGGGTATAGGCGTGGATATTTTATTATCATACATTCACACCCTTCCGTGGATTCATCAAGACATTAGAGTTCACAGAAGTTGGACAGTTCTCCGAAAATAGACTCTTTTTCTTTTTCATTATTTTTTGGTTGGTATTTTTCGTTTCTAGTTCTTCGTTCTTTTCATTTTTTTGTATTATGTTTGTCAACCCAACCGACAACGATACAGGTATAGAAATGAATAAATAAAATAAATATTGAATAATACCCTATAATTAATGCATCGATGAATAGTATATGGAAGAATCCTATGTCTAGACTCAAAATTATGATATTTCCAAGAACATTTTAAAAGAGGATTATTCCAATGTCTTCCTAGTCCCAGACTGTATATAAAGACCGCTTTCCCTAAGCGATCTTCACTCTCACATTCAATTCAATCAAAAACAACAGTACAAGTGAGTCACTACTCTAATATATGTTCCTGTTTCTAGATTATTCATTTATATTTTCAATCGACTCATACAACACACAACACCCTACAATAATTTGAGTCTTGACTTATCTAACGTTACTTGACTTTACTTCAAATTCTGATCACAAGGTGACATATAATGGGACCCCTGAGAAGATCGAAACGCTCGATGTCAATCTCATACACCTACACCTTTTTTTAATTATATTTTAAAACCACCCCAAGCCTTATAGCGTGCGAAATAGCAGAGCAATTTGAGGCGCTCGGCAACGCTATGTTTGACTCTTACTTTCGATATAAAACTTCTTCGGCTCAATATTTAGAGCTGAAATTTTTACTGTTAGATGGACACCTCAAGACACACTTTCTATGAAAATTCAGCAAGATCGGATGATCCAGGTATAAACTAGTTTTCGGATGTGGAGAAGTACTTAAATAATAATTATGGTCGTCATATAAACGAAAGTAATTATCAACTGTGACCGGATGAGGGAAAGCATTTGTGCTGTTCATTGTTCTATTTATGAGTATTCCTGCTTTTTTTGACATAAAATAATCAAGTATTCCAAAGTAGAAAAGAACATTTGTCAAACAGCAAAAAGAATATGAGCAAGCTCGCCTGTTAGTTGCAATTGCCGAATTTCTCTTCAGTAACATCGACTATTATAATGACAATTAATTTTCGAGAATTATTATATTACTCATTAGATTTTTCAGTTACCAATTGTTATCTACCTCTCGATATAGTTTGGCTGGGAAATTGCACACTAGACCAATAACTGTGTCACAAGTTGATAAAAATGTGTTTTTTGAACTTAATAAATCGGTATCATTATATCGAATCACTCCTCCCAAAACTGGTAGGATTACCGCTTTTTTAGTCTAGTTGATTAAACGAAATCAGACCTGTGCACAATGAATCAACGACGTTTCCAAATAGAAAATTAGATTTACCTAATCTCAGTACCGTTTAGTCTAGGTTTCTTTCAAGAAATTGTGTCAGTAAACTCTTTGTTGGTCATCAGTGGTTTTGCTTGTCCATGTCTATCCTCTTTTATTTTCTTTGCAATGTGTCGTCACCACATTGTTAGTTCTTGATTTCGTTTCAACCGAAAAGCACTGTAAAATTCACATGCAGTAAGAAAATCTATAGTAGTTATTATTATAAACAAACAAAAACAGCTTTTCAAATCGCTTTCGAGGCCGATTTCATCGAAGTTAAATGTCTGAGCTCAGCGCATGCCTTTGTTTGAAGATGGGGACGTGGGAGATATTGCATCTCTCGTGATATCTTCAGCATCACCAATTCCCTTGATATATAGTACAATTCATTTTTATTTTATATTCACTTACATATGTCCTTGAAAAGCACTAATAACTGATCATCATCATCTACTCTCTCTTTCGTAATAGAGAACTTCTACCTGGAGAGTTTGATATGCAGAACGTGATAAATTAGATCTTCGTTTTGATTAATATTTAAAAATTATTCTAGGACACCGGTAATCGATGGCATCACAAAATATGGCGACCAATCAACCTCTTTGTGAAGAACCTCCTTGTCCTAAGTGTCGCAAATGTCGTAGTTATGAGCATTTTAGTGATCATATGGATATTATTCGTACGACTATTCCTCGTCTTAACGTTCGTAGTGTTCTTACTTATTTTGCTGCTCAGAGTAAATATGCTACTCTTCGTGGTCCTTTTGCTCCTTGGCGTAACTTTGTTCAAGATGCTCTTGTTCCTACCGGTCCTGAGGGTGTTGGTATTGGTGCTTTTCGTGAAGTTTTTCATCGTATTAGTGGTATTGACGATGCTCTTACTGGTATTCATCCTCCAGGTTTTTGCGATTGCAACGCATAATTGCAATAAATACGAAAAAATTGAATAATTAACTACCGTTAACATCAGTTTTTTGTATTTTATTTTAAACAAGAATAAATACACTTAAGATCACCTACGTTTTTATAGCTCTCTTTAGTATATAGAATTTTTTTATATATTAAGAAATATTGACACTAATGTACATTGACCTTCTGGAGTTGATCTTCGAGCTTTTTTTTTCTATTGTTGTTTGTTATCGTTGACAGACTACATGAATTCTATGTGCAAATGATAATTGTACTTATTAAGTAGTTACATATTATCAAAAACGTATGATCAGATGATAGCTCTCTCGAAGAAAAATGAAATTTGTATACAGTTGAAGTATATAATATAATCGTCAATAATAATAATAATAATAATAATAATAATAGAAATGGATTATTAATGACGAAATAATAAACAAACGAATAGATTGATCATATTCATAATCTAGTCATTGAATGATTAGAATTATGTAATACAAACAATGTATTTTCTTCTAGTCACAGTAATCTCACTATAAGTTTATTGGTGTTAATGTGACGTACAGATAATACTGTTAAATTTTATTCTATTTTGTTTTGTTTTATTGAATGTTCTGATAGACAGACTTTCGTCTAATGACGATAATACTACAAATTATTATTACAAATGAATAAATATTATTTTAAGAATCAAATGTTTATTTTTTTAAAGAAAAAAACAAAACTAGAAACGTATGGGGTGAAGGTATGGGCGTAAAATGAATAAAATACTCTCACATTCACCGACAGCGATACTCAGCCGACGTTACACTTACTCTCATCCACCTCCTCATCCTCACCTCCTATTTTGTCAATGATTAAATGTCATTGATTAGTTTATCACTCGCCTCTTTTCTTTTATATTCTTTCCTCTACTCTGATGGATGAGTATATAAGCGTATGCTTAGTATAAAAATGATGTGATTCTTGGAAGAAGCAACAGAATTAAGTGTCATTCGATCAGCATTACACCCTTTTTTTATCAAGAAATGATCATATACCATCTTGAAGGTATGGGTGAAATAGGATAGGACTCGATGAAAGTGGGTGAAACAGCATAGAAGTGGGTGGAAATGAGTGGAATACGGTAAGAGCGAGTGGAAGTGGATGGGAATAGGTGAGAGTCGGAGGAATAGGGCGTGAGTGTGTAGATATATCTTGTTTATCTTGAGGGTGTGGGTGCAGAAGCAATATAATACTCATATAGAAGTACAAAGTGATTTTTTGCACTTTTAAAATTCAAGAGAAGAAATCTGCGTCGTAATTCAAACATAAGTTGGTAGATCGATGCTCTCAATTTAGTAATAACAGAAAATAGTTTTATTCTATTCAGTCGAGGGTCAAGTGAGTCGAAGTTACGAACGTTACTTGTTGATGACGCTGGCGACGATGATGTGGATAAAAGTTTGTCTTATTTAGACTTGTAGTTTGCATAAGCTTCATCTTCCTCATTAAAAAAATTCAACATTGATGATTTTAAATGTGAAAAGAATGTTAAGTTTGACTTTATAAGGAAAATTAAACAATAAGATTATTTTTTCTGACCGCTAATAATACTAGTCGACTTCTAAAGATTAACCTTTTCGGGACGGATGGTTCACTGTATATATCACAGTCTGTTTTTTAACAGAAACATGTTATGTATTGACGATGGGAAGTAGTTGTGTATATGTCAGAAAACGCTTATAGTAGTGATATATATCTGATATGACTTGCATAATTAAGGCCTATTTTCCTCCTTTTGTTCTCTGCACTAAACTATTATGCTGCACCTTTCTGATTTATTCTTTTGCATACACACGTGAGTATGATGTTGTTACTTGGTCCGATCATATATACAGGATATTAGTAAATTTCAATAAAAAACAGAATCATTTGATTCTTTAAAAATGTGTTTTTGTTTATTTTTCCAAAAAAGAACGGCGAATTTTGAGTGATTGAACATGTGATTATTAGGTGCTATCGAATAGATGAATGTGAAAGGGTAAAATTCTTAAACTTACAAAAAATACAAAGCAGCATACCATAGATCTAATCCATTTTTCAAACTCAGAATCTAACGAAAGATTCTAGATTGCGGAAGTCCGATTCTAGTTCAAGTTTCCAAAGACCACAATATTTTTTTCAACACTAATGAATTTGATATCATTGTATTTTCCCCTACTTTGCGTATTCAATGGTGAAAGCTGTAGATCGATAGCTGCTTCCATGTTCGAGATATTCAAAAAACGTTTGTGTTCATTATATTTTGCTGTAGATAGTAATTTTGTTCAATGTTTTATTAGACTTAAATTTTTTTAAAGTGAATCATAATCAAATTAGGAAGCCATCTGATGAATCGCTGGAGAAAGGACGAACCCGGTCCTGGCAGGATGTCACATCCACACCCATCAAGATCTTGCATCTGAATGGGATTAATCTAATTGCGCAAATGAACAACAATATACGAATTACAATACCTTCTTCTTATCGAAAAATCGTTTGAAACAAGGATTATAATATCTTTGTGTTAGAGTCGTTTCATGTATACTCGTTCAAATCAAATCAAATTGATGTCACAGATCATTTTTAATAATAAAAATATTGTCGACGTAGTTACATAGAGTCTGAGGAGTTCAAGAATGTCTTTCTCTTCTTTTGTTTGATTCTTCATAAAAGTTCTTGAAAATGGAATGAATTCTCTGTAAATATGTTCAAATATATGACGCTTTCAAAGAAAAACCTTATTACAAATTGATTTGAATAACTTTTTCATTAATTTGTTTCCATGCAAATTTGCAGAAAAATCAACTTGTCTTAGGCAACAAATGCAATGAGAATATCGAGAACGATTATAGTGTAATGTCTAAAATAATCAACCACCAAAATGCGACATCTATTTCGTATTTTTACGACATTCGTGATAAACGCGCTCTCATATTTAATTTCAATTTTTTCCATAGTGATACTTTAGTAAACGCGGCGATGAGTATATCAGAATGAACCCAGAAATTGAGTTTTATCGCAACCAATAAATACCAAGCTTCTTATTTTCCGTCTCTATGATACCGATAGCAAGACTAATTCCTTCATTATCAACAACAATATCACTCGATGACTCAATAAACAGAAAGAAAGATCTACAGAAGAAATGAAAGTGCACACAAAACATTCACATGCGCGTGCACAATGACAAAGTTACAGACGAAGAATATTTATTTCGCTAGACACGGCGAACGAATCGATTTTATTGATAAAAAGTGGAAAGAAACGACAAAATGGCATTTGAATCCTCCGTTATCATCATACGGTCTCCAACAAGCACATGAACTCGGTGTATACGTTGCCAAAATTCAGCCACGAATAACTCATATATATGCATCACCCTTTTTACGTACAATTCAAACTGCACTGCAAATAGCCAAAGAGCTGAATAAGAATGTTTCATCACCTCATGAACTTACAAAAATTCGCGTAGAACTAGGGTACGGTGAATATTTCCTTTACGACGATATATCGGATGAAAATTACATCTATCAACCCTTTGATCAACTATCTGAAACCTCGCAAAACGCTGATTATTTTGATCATAATTACGATAGCGTCTACAAATCTAATTATTATTCACAAGCGAGACAAGAGACTCGTCAGCAACTGCGTGATCGTTTGACACAAGTCCTACGATGTACGCTAGATGCTCACACAGCTGACTGTAACATTTTAATTGTTACTCATGCAGCAACATTGATCGAAGGTGTCAGAGCACTATTGACAGTCAGTAAAGAACGAAGTCAGGAGGTGGTAACGAAAAAAGAAATCACAATTACAACGAACCAAGAGAAAAATAATCTTTCTGCATGGGATATGTCTCCGATTCGAGCAGGAGTCTGCAGCTTAACCCATTTGGAATTGCTGGATGACAATTGGACTGTGTCGAAGAATGGACTCACTTCGTATTTATCAAAAGGCGAACAAAATTTTTGGATGTTTCCTGATGATACACCATTATATGAAAAAATATAACTTTTCGTTTAAAATCGAAACTATAATCCATATTGTAAACTTTGATCGGCAAAACAATAAACAATGCTTACAAGGACGGGTTCCCCAACTGTCCAATCGCTTTTGAGTTGATATTTTGGCCAAAGATAGGATACCACAAGACTAGAATAATGCTATCAGGATTTGATCCGCTAGACCATTGTAACCGAGTTCTGGACTTTTTACTGCATTTTTGGTCATTTTTCCGGTACTGAGCAAAAAATAAAACAGAGCGGTTTTGACCTAAAATGTTCCCTATAGAGAGATTCACTTACCATTAGAAGATCCCAAAGTTTTAGCCGAATAAAGTATTCATTTGTCGAGATTTTGAATTTTAAAGTAAATTGAGATTTTACGTCTTGTCCACGATAAGCCATAATTTTTTAATAATTCAATATCTCGACAAAGGAGCACGCTTTTTCGGCTGAAACTTTCGGGATATTCTAGCGATGACTGAATCTTTCTATGGGGAACATTTCAGGTCAAAATTCCTTTACTTTATTTTTTGCTCAATATCGAAAAAATGATTAAAAGTGCAGTAAAAAGCCCAGAACCAACTTGAGGGTGGGTGTGGGTGTGGGCCAAGAGAATATTTACACCCACACCCTATCTGTTCTCTTGTGCTCTGTTCTATTTTTCAATTTTTTGTTTTTTTCTCTTCCTTTCTTTTCTTTTTTCTTTCATTCTGTTTTCTCATTTTCGTTTTGTTTTAATGTATTAACATATACTGATAGGATGTGACGATCACAGTATTTATATTTACATAATAAAAAAAATGATTAACGCGTTTTAACGCACTTAACCTTGAGGGTGTGGGTGGGTGTGGGTGTGAGTGTGGGTATGGGTGTAGAAAAAGAAAAGAGGAATCGAAATATACACCCACATACACACCTACACCCACCCATACCCACACACCCACTCACACCCACACTCACATCCACACCCACACCCACCCTCAAGATGGTTGACAGATGTAACGGTGAAACAACATTAATTACAATAGGTATGCTTCAAAGTCATAAATATAAGCTATGTTTTCCATAAGCAACACCAGTTACATCGTGTTTCACATTTTTAATCCCGAAGGGATTGCGCTGAAAGCTTTTTCTATCTGTTGCATAGTCAGTAGGCAGCGGCTTGATCTAAAATAGGTGCGCCTGTTCGGACTCTTTTTCTCTTCCTTGTCGCCTGTCGTGAATTAGATTGATTGTTCACATTCGTCGTTGATTCAGTTATAGCGGTTACTGTGCTAGAAACTATTTAGAAGCAATATACTATTTCAAAGAGCAATGATTCTGTTTTTATTCGAAAAAAAGAAGTAAACTACAAAGTAGTTTCTGTTTTTTGAAGTAGAGTGTATGGGTGATTATGCATGAGGAATAATAAAGTATTTACTTTTAAACCACACCCACTCATCGCCGTCACCATTGTCCTTAATATTATCACAATATAGAACCGAACCTTCTTCAAGTGACTTAAAATTTTTCGTTGCTACTGCAGCCAGCAACTGTCGGTGATTAGCTTTTGAAGTTGTATAAGATTGTTTTTCACTCGTATTACGCTTGATTTGGTTCCATGAGATTCTTTAACTCTTTCAATCCCGCATGATATATTCTAGATACCATACAAAATACAAAATATTTTTTTCGTTTTGATGTCGTCTTATAATACGAATATCATGTGATGTTCATTTGAATTATTACACTTGTGTCTTCTTACAACGACAACTACTTGTTTTTTTTTCTAATATATCAATAAACCTACTAGACTTAAATACAGTTGATTGAACATACGAAAGAGATTTAATTTTTTTTTGGTTATGCAGAACAAAAGATACTGTCGGGATTGAAAGGGTTAGTTGATTTAATATCTTGAGCGGTATGTTAGAGTGCAAGGGGGAAAAACGCTACTCTAGTAGTCCAAAAATATTTTTGGAGTACGCTGAAGTGGACCAGGATATGACTGGAGTAGGTTAGAGTAAGATCGGAGTAAGACTAGGAAAGAGTGGAGTAGGACTGCAGTAGAGGTGGACTACACTGAAATACTGAAGTATTGGATTAGCACTTTTTCACTCGTGTCAGGGCGTGAGTATTCTCAACTACGTCCACACTCGCACACCCATGCTCAACATGAAAAAGTTGATGAAATATCAAGTACGCAAGGAAAATGAACGGTAAGAGAATATAAGTTGATCTTTACCTTCATTTTGTAGTATAGCGTATATTACGACAAATGGATGAATCGCTTTTCGAAAAGATTATCTCATGATAATAAAACATAGATGATGCTAGTTGCTATTGCTAAATTTTTCGATCCCAACGGTTCCGAATCTAATCCAACCGTTTTTATTTTACGGTTTAAGTTCCGATTCCGGTTAGAGTTCGGTTTTCGATTCTAATTTTTTTTTAACCACCGAGCTCCACTATTTCGATATTTTGGCAATGAAAAAGCAGCTTAAATGCAAAACAACATATTTTTATAATCAACGGAGAAAGTTGCCTTAAACAACTACGAATTTAAGTAGAAAAAAATTCACCAAAATCGACCTGTATTGGTCTGAAGAACAAAAGCTAAATACAAATTACAGCTGTCCATCAGAATACAGTCAAGAATGGGTGTGGGTGTGAGTCGGTGATGGTATTCTGCTCATTCCACACCCACCCACACCCACCCACACCCAATACAAAGACATAGATGGCGTCATTTTTATTTTTATTTGTTGAAATGAAAAGAAAATCTTGAAATTTCAAAAGATCGTTTTTAGAAATTTTATTGTCTTCTTAAATAAAATAAATATTTTTTTCTTAATGTTAATTCGTAATTCTAAGCAACATCCTCAATCTATAATGATCATGGCGAATAAGTTCACCTATCTATATTAACATTCAAAAAGTAAAACAAGGTCAAGATCAATATGGATAAATATATGATAATTTCGCTAATTGGCGAAGGTTCTTTTGCAAAAGTTTATCGCGGTCGAGAAAAATATACTGGACGGGTACGTTCTTAATATCCGTCTATTTCATTAACTTAAAACTAAGAATATAATACTTTTTTTTCCTTTAGGATGTTGCATTAAAACTTATATCTAAATTAGGTAAAACAGAAAAAGATTTAAATTTTTTACGACGTGAAATTGATATACTTCGAAAAATGAAACATGAAAATATTGTCGAAATGTTGAATAGTTTTGAAACATCTAATGAAGTAAATGAAAAACGATTTTATTAATGCCTTATTTGTACGAGTTTCTTTTATATTTAAGATTGTTGTTGTTACTGAATGTGGTCTTGCTGATCTTTATCAGTTATTAGAGGATGATGTTAGTTTACCAGAAGATGCGGTATGAAAAGATAATTTATTCTTTTGTATGATTGTTTGTGGTTTTTAAGGTACAAAAAATTGCTTGTCAATTAGTGTCAGCTCTTTATTATTTACATTCTCATCGTGTTCTTCACAGAGGTTTGATTTGTTATTTTTAAAATATAAAATTTTCATTATTATTAAATAGATATGAAACCACAAAATATTTTAATCTTTCCATCTGGAAAAGTGAAATTATGTGATTTTGGGTAAGTAAAATAGTTTGCATAAAAACATTTTTTTTTGAAAATTCTATTATTTAGTTTTGCTCGAAATATGACAATGGATACAATGGTGTTAACATCAATTAAAGTTAGTTTCTGTAGTTTTTATCAATACATCTTATAAAATCTTACAATTTTTTAGGGAACTCCACTGTATATGTGTCCGGAACTTGTGGGTGATAAACCATACGATCATTCAGCAGATTTATGGTAAGCGATATTTCATATTTAAACAAAAATAATTCATTCCACTCGACTGACATTGCGATTATCATAAGAATACTTTTGTGAAACACGATCTAAAAGGAGTGTTGAATTACAGACGTGACCGACAAATGTTCTTTTGACCTCGTCACCGACGTGACCGACAGGTCATTATAGGCCTTTATATATAGGTAATCAATGTAGCAGCACCAACCATAAGTGACAGATGTTCTTTTGATTATACCATAGACTGTGAGGGTCATAGACATGAACACTTAGTTGCAGAATAAAATGAAACTATTGGACTCATACTGTTTAGGAAAGAAAGATACAGAAGTAGTTTTGTTTATATTAATCGATTTTTCTATTGAGTTTTGTAACAACTGTTAAAATGATAATTAAGTGAGTTTAATATATGTAGATTATTTCTTTTTGATATTTCTATACCGTTATGCTACAGGATGAGGTCAAAGCTCCTTGATAATGTAACAAGTAAACTATCTTCTTGGAGGTAGAAACACAGTTGGATCGTATTTCACATTTTTAATCTCGCCAGGGATTGCGCTAACAGCTTTTATATGTATATTTATTTCTAGGGCACTCGGATGTATATTATACGAAGTTTATCATGGTCAACCTCCATTTTTTACCAATAGTATTTTGCATTTAGTCAAAATGATTGCAGAAGGTATTATTTTATTAATTATTTTTCTAGTAAAATTTATATCTAATGTATATTTAGAACCTGTTCAATGGCCAAAAGTAATGAGTCCTGATATGCGTAGTTTTTTAGAAGGTCTTCTTACGAAAGATTCTACTCATCGTTTAACATGGCCAGATTTATTACAACATCCATTTGTACGAACGGGAGTTAAAGGTAAAATATCAATCTTTGTTTTCTTCAAAAGTATATTTAATCGATAAAATAGTTCCACTTTTAACTGAATCAATTATTGGCCCATTAACACAACCACCCACTGAAGAACAACGTATTTTAAAACAACAACAAATTAAAGCTAAAGGTGTTTCACGTGGTCCTTCAAAACTTCTCTCAAAATTTATGCCAGATGAACATCGAAAAGTAAATTCATTCTATTTGATTTTTATATTTCTCTATATTTTAACTAAATTAGGATGCTCCAAAATCACCTGGAAATAAAGATAAAACTCCAAAGAAAACAAAAATTCCAACACCACAAAAACCTGAAGTAAAACAACCTCCTCCTCCACCACCACCTGTCGAGCCCATTATTAATCATTCTGCTCTTACCGTTGATTCTTTAACAAGTCAAGATGATAAATTTGTATCTGCACGCGATAATCTTACTACATCTCGAACAACTGAAGAACAAGAAATCGAACAATATGCCGAACAAATCGAATCAATGTCAAATGAACAATTAATTCATTTACTTCAACAACCAGCATTTGCTCAATTGTTTCAAACAATTCAAATAACAGTTTTATCCAAACTATTAGAATGTACTCTTAATGGTGCTTCATTCTATCGAAATATGATGAAAATTATTCGATTTATTTTACAAGCTGATATTGATCCGAATTATATTATTTTATTTACAAATACAATTCATATACCAGATTTACTATTAAAACATCTAAAAGCAGTTTTTGATCATTCAACAATTCGAAAAGAAGTAAAATTTTCTTATTTTATTTTATTTTTTATATGTTTTTTTTTAATTTAGCCTTGGTTTGCTCATATTCTTTATGATATTTTAATTGTTTTACGTCTTTGGTTTGAATTAATTATTGCTTATACACTTCAACAATTAGATGAAGATCAATGTCAATTTTATTTGAATATGTCACATGAATTTCTTGAATTAACATCAATACTATTAAATATAGGATCAACATTAGATTATACGATTTGTTGTGAAGCATTGATGATATTAATTATTCTTTGTGAATCATATGAAGATGCTTCACCAATACTTTGTCAAGCATGGTATGATCCAATACGTTTAGATAAATGTCAAATATGGTCAGCAATTGCTCAATTAATAACAACGAATTCTAGAATCGAAAGTGAAAATAATAAAGAAGATATTTATAGAAAAAAAAACTTATTATTTATATAGATCCAAATGCTGAAATTTACAACGAAACATTAATGTATACTGTAGCTACTATAGCAGCTCTTACATACCCGTCACAATGTTTACCTGATGAATTACTTGAAGCAAAAATCAAAGTAATATGAATATATATTCACTGGAGAATAAAATATTTACAAACGAAGATTTCTTTTTTTTTAGGTAGCAAATTCTCTTGCATTAAAATTACTTGATTCGAATTATGCGGCATTTCGTGATGTATGGCTTGGTCAATTTTATACACCAAAATGTTGTTCAAATATTCTTAAAGTATATTTAAATATTAATAAATAAATAGATTTTATTATTTTCTATTCTAGGCACTTTATGGAATGTGTTTATCAACACCACGTTTTACTGCATTTATATTTGATGGACCATTTGTATCAAATGAACTTCTTAGTTTAATTCGTGGTCAGGTATGTTGCTTTGAAAATGAAGAATATTCTATTTGATTATATTATTATTTCAAAAGATTACAACAGAAGAATCTGATTTAGATGAAGTAATTGAATTATCAATTCATATCAGTACTGTTATGATAAAACAAATTATTTTACAATAGTAAAATATTTTCTTAAATATATATTTATATTCTATTATTTATTAATTTGTAGTGATAATAATACACGAATTGATCTACGAAATCAGCCAATAGTTAAGGAAGATCGTAAATTAGAAAAGTAAGAATTCATATATATTTATTTTTAAACTCGAAAAAATGAGATAGAGACGGGTGTGGGTGTGGGTGTGAGTGTGGGTGTGAGTGTGAGTGTGGGTGTGAGTGTATAATCCATTCTTCTCTTATAACAGACACCCAAACCCACCCACCTATACTCTTTACGGACTCCCGGTAAAAGTGGTGAAAAAAATCAATTCCGAACACCTCGACAAATTACCGGGTGTCCGAGGGGGTAGTTGATCATCGCCAACAGCCGTTTCGCCAATTGGCGAAATTGGATATTAGAAATAATTATTTATTTGACGAGTTTCATAGTACAACTTCGCCAATTTAAGTTGCTTTACATTGTTTGTAATGAATAATTTTAACTGGGAGCTATCGTCCATCTTGAAGGTGTGGGTGTGGGTGGGATAACAACACATTACTCACACCCACACACACACCCACACCCTCGAAAGTAATAACTGTCAATGATGGATTTACTTTACGTGCAAGGAAAGGTTTCTAACTATATAATTATTTTTCTATCATAGACTTCAACCAATAACTACTCATATAGCTCAATTAGCGTTAACAAGTCAATTATTACCACAACGTGCTGCTTGTGCACTTCATCTTGTTTATGCTATATCATCTGGTGTTAAAGTTGTTTTAAATTCAGATGAATACATTGATAGTTTATCGACTATATTTGTTCAATCAGAATGTGATGTAAATTAATAAAATTTATTTTTTAAAATTTTACAAAACAAAATTTTTTTTCTTAGTTTATCGTTCGATTTCCATTTCAACACGGACTTCTTGATGGTTTAATTATGCTGATATTTTATATTATACAAATTGTAAATTGAATCAAAAAAATATGTCTCAATATTTTTTATTTTTTTTCAAAGGATCCACAAAAATCAATAGGAACTTTAATTGATAGTGGTTTATTCTATATATTATGGCAACAAATTCGTGCGGCATTTCATTCTTTACATCCAAATGGTATGAATGATGAAATGTCAGTAGTTACAACACCTGATTGGATTTTAATATCGCGCAATGGTATTCATCAATTACTTCAATTAACATTAGAATTATTTCTTCAAGTAATAATAATAAATAAATATTTTATCAAAAAACTCAAATTTCTTATTTTTAGCGTATGCACAAATGTTTAAGTTTACTTATTCAATCGGAAAGTGTTATGTTTGAAACATTGAGTATGATGTTAAGTAAAGAATTTATTGAACAACTTGATATAAAGTAAGAAAGAGAAAAAATTATAATTACAAATATCATATAAATTCTTTATTATATAAAGTTCTACAAATGTATTAACAACTGAAGTTGTTACATTAACATGTAATATATTTATGTTTCCATTTTCTATTGAAACAAGTGAAACATTTCTTGAACGAACATTAGAGTAAAACATTATTCTAAATAATTTATCATGATTTAATATTTCGAAATTTAGATTATGTCAACGTTATGATATTATTCAAAAACTTCTCTGGGTAACAATGACACATTTACCAATTGATCGTATTGAAGTACCTATAGGTCTTATTGCACAATTAAGTTATTATCAAGAATGTAAGAGAAAAGAAATTTTTAAAAGAAATAAAAATTTTATATTTTAGCTTCTCGAAAAACAATCAGTCAAATGTTAATGGAAGATGTACAGGTATAGTTTGCATATTAAACATTTACGAAAAAAGAAGTCTCACGAGGGAACCACCCGAGATATCAAAAAGCTTTTGAGCCGGAATTTTGCCCATACTAAGACCTCAATCAGATAAGCTTGCCTACAAGTTTTCAAAAATTTCGGAAAGACTGTCTTTGAGATACAAGTACTTTAGCATAGAGACGCTTTCTTATGGATATCAGGTTTCACATGAATATTTCGATGGATTCATATCTCGATGATAATCTGTCTAAAATTTCTAAAACTTTGTAGGCAAACTTGTCTGATTGAGGTCTTAGTGTGGACAAAATTTCAACTCAAAAGCTTTTTGATACCTCGGGTGGTTCCTTCGTCAGTAGAAGATTCTCCGATAATCGTATTATATTTTTTAGTTATGTCAATTCTATGCGAATGTTCTTTATGGAAGTAATGATAGTGAATTCATTCTATGTGATGTATTCTTTACGTTTACAAATTTAATAAAAACAACAGATAGTGTTGTATCATCATTAAGTGATGTACTTAGTGGACCACAAAGTAAAAATATAATGAATTTTTTTTCTAGTTTTAATCTAATACAATATATTTAATTTGAAGATGATTTTGATATTTTAAAACGTGCATTATCAGGAAGTAATTTAACAAAAGCAAAATGTTGTTTTCTTATGGGTCATATGACAAAATCATCGCGTACATTTTGTACAGTTCTTAAAACTCACCCAGATGTACTTGATCAATTACGCCAATGTTGTTTTGAAGATGATTCACATGTTCGAAAAGTAAGAAACAACAAAAAAATTTTCTTTAATTTACATATTCATTTTAGATGGCTTTTTTTGTATTGGGAAATTTTATATCTACAAATGAAATTCTTTATGAATACGTTGATGAATTAACACCATTTCTTGTTCAAGCATTAAATGATACTATTTCAAAAATACGATCACATGCAGTTAGTAAGTAATTTAATGTGTAAAAGAAAAGAAAGATCATCGTTTTTTAAATAGATACACTTGGTTTTTTGGCACGTTATCGTCGATCTGAACGTTTAATTAATTTTAAAGTTCCAGAAAAATTACTTGATGTTGCTTGCCATGATACACATGTAATCGTACAAGAATTTGCACTTCGTGTACTTAAACAAATGTTAAAACATGAACGAGCAAAAGAGGTTTTATTGAAATGAAAAATTTCTATTTTTTAATCTATTTTCTATTTAGATTTTACAAGAATGTAATGCAACTGATAAACTTTCAAATTTACTTTCAAATTTATGTATACAAATGGAAAATAATCAATATAGTGAAGTTGATGGACTAGTTGATGAATGTGAAGAACTTTTAAGTATGCTCATTGAACAATGCACTTAATCTAGAATGTTTTGATTTTTTTTTCAATTTTCTTTTTCTCTATTCTGTGTAAATAAATATAATCGTTTATCACATTCTTCACACATATATAATATAAGAAAATAAATATTGATGACACATCATCCGGCTATCATGGTCTTTATTTTCTTCTTTCTCCGCATGAATTAATCCGTCGAATATTTTGTCTATGTATTCATCTATTCGATGAGGTTATTTAGAACCAAATGAATGTGATATAATTCTTGATTCAAAAGAATTACGACAACATGAATATTTTATTCATTTAAGTTCCAAACATTTTATTATCGAATGTCTTGATAATGGACGATCAATATTTTTTCGTGATGTTAGTAGAAATGGTTGTTATATTGATGGTGAATTAATTCATCATTCGAAAATTTTATTACAAAATAGTGAACATATTATGTAAGTGAAATAAAAAAAAATGAAGATAAAATATCCATTCTATTTGTTATTATTTAGTTCTCTTGCTTTACAAGAAAATCGTGCATATAAATTTATACATTTATCAGGTTTAAAACAAATTGGTCCTGGACTTTCCAAATATCTCTATAGAGAAGTGTAAATAAATGTTTTGTTTTATATTTTCATATTTTATTTAAATTCATATAGATCTATTCATGGAAGTGTTGATGTTTATCATGAGAAAACAGATTTATTTGTTGAAATGGAATATGCCGCTGATGGTGGTGCATTACTTGATAGAATACATAAAACATATATTATGGATGAAGATGAATGTAAACTTATTTTTTATCAAATTGGTTGTGCATTAGAATATTTACATCGACTTAAAATAGTAAAATGAATAAAATACTCTCACACCTACCGACAGCGATACTCAGCCGACGTTACACTTTCTCTCATCTTCACCTACTTTGTCAATGGTTAAATGACATTGATTAGTTGATCACTCGCTCTATTTCTTTTATATTCTTTCCTCTACTCTGATGGATGAGTATATAAGCGTATACTTAGTATGAAAATGATATGATCTTTGCACGAAGGAATAGAATAAAGTGTCATTCGAGCAGCATTACACTCTTTCTATCAAGAAATCCATACACGTCACTTTTCTTTGTTATCAGTCGTTGTGCATCAAGATACCTTGGGAAAATGGCCAGATACTCAATCGAACCTGCCTATATATTTAACCATTCAGTCTGTTTTATTTTCAAGTAATAAGTAACGATAATGATGATGATTTTTTTCTTGCTATTATCCATTTCGTCGTTGACAACGGTGCAAATGACCGATCGAATACCGTCGCTTTTTGAAGCCATTTTTGTTCGACCATCGACTAGTGGTTGTGTTACTCAAACTAATGATTACTGTCATGTGGTGAATGCTGTGCATGAGTCGCTTGGACTGGTACATAATCCAACGTCCGATATACTGTTATCAACTACAACTTTTGACGATGCAACACTTAATGAAATATTCCTATTAGGTCTTCAACAATATGCCTTATTTTTGACGGATAATCCTCAATACATGCCGAATGATCTTCAGAATATTGTGTCAGATTTGATACGGATTATTTCACTTCTTGAGGAGAAAGGTACTACTGCTGTGACATGGTATGATCTCAAACCATACGTTCGTCGATTTCTTGAAGTTATTCAATCACCACAACATCATTAGGACGATCATTTTTTTGTCTTAATTTGTTAAAACAAATAAATGAAAAGATATACATAATTAGTGCTTGTATTCAATTGAAAATAAACTGTGCTGCTTTGGAGGTGGGTGGGCGTGGGTGTAAGTATCGGTGTGAGATAGGAAGATCCACCCATACCCACCCGTCGAACTTCTCGACGGACTCTCTTTTGGTAGCTTCGAAGAAATAAACTTCTTATCAAATTGTCTCTCACATCTTCATTATTTCTACTTATTATGTCTTCTATGACTATTATACTTATACGAATAAATTTTTCTCTGACTTTTCACTCTTCAGATTTTTCCTTTTTCGGATTTTTATTTTTCCGGCTTTCTTTACCAGATTATTATTTTCCGGATTTCTTGACAGCATCTGATTTTATTATTTCGAGAGTTGACGATTCTCTGTTTTAAGCGTCTAAATACACGTGTAATCAATATGAGATAATTTACTGTTATGTGTTCAATAAATGACCGGCGGTATGCATCTTTTTTCAATTGAAGATATGGATGTAGGTGTGGGTAAGGGTAGAATAGAAATAAAAAGACCAATACCCAAACCCACCCTTCTTTTATAAAATCAATAATTGAATAAGAATAATGCTGTGCACAAAGTTAATGAAAATCGATATTTTCATTTGAATGACCAACATATGTTTTTAATTACTAATGTAGATTCAATAAATGATCAGAATCTCAATAAAAAACTATTTTTCAATGAAATTGACAAAAGAATTTCTCAATGATCTTCAAAAAAGTTTGAAATTTTTCTTATTAAAAATTGAGTTATTTTAGAGAATTTATATTCAAACTAAACAAATAGAAAATCTACAAAACAATAAATATTTATAATATCAAAAATTTAACTTTGAATTCAAATCTGTGACATTATTTTAATTCCAAAAAGAATTATTCAAATTATCAACAATGACAAAAAAAATGAATCTTTAGAATAAATGATGTGAAATTGGAGAATGTTATTTAATATGAAAACTAATCAAATTCTCTATTTAATTCATTATATGAAGAGAAAATTGAAAGAAAATAATAATTCTTTTACTTTATGAAAAAAATTTGAAAAATCCAAAGAAAAAGAAGAAAAGCTATTTTTCATCATTTCTTTATTCATCAACATCTCATATCGAAGTATTTTAAAGAATTAATACAACATTCTAATAAAATGTTATTCAAAATCGAGTTCTACAATTTGTTCTTTTTTTTAATATTAAATATTTAATTCTTCACATACACTTTCATAAATTAAGAGTAAAATAAATGAAGTATCAGTTGATCTTCTAAATCCTTTATTGATATTGAAAAGAAAAACAACATGATGATCTCTCGATTGAAGAAAACGAAGAAATCGTTTAAATAAATATTTTATTTATTTTCGATATGAAATTTTTGTTATTCTTTAAGAATAAAATCGTTGAATTCGATGAAAAAAGAAGAAGTGAAATAATTAAATTTGAAATAATGAAAATCTAATCGATATTCATCAAAAGATTTCTTTTTTTCCAAACAAAATCATTATTTAATTCAGCAAAAAATCAAATTAACTCACTTTTCACAATTATTCTTTGATTTAGACGACTTCTATTTAACAATAAGATGTTCATTATTCAAATATAAGTTACTCAACAGATTTTACGCAAAAGTGTTTGTCACGTCTTGATATTCAATAAAATATGATCGTCGGATAAGGTATCTTTATTGAAGAAAAGGAAGAGAGAGAGGACGTAGGATGGAAGATATATATATATAACACATGGCATATAACGACAGCTATATATATGTGTATGTGTTGGATGAAACCATAACAGAAAAGAAAAAAAACTATGACACACTGATAGAACATGTATAATTCCATTATCATACTGTGTTAGATGATATGGAATATTTGTACTATATCACAGTGTTGTTTACAGCAAAGTATTTTGCCGATTGAATATGTTGTAAATAAGGATGTGAGTAAAATCAAAGTATAGGTGAGGGTGAATGTATAAGTGCATTAAGTATAAAGCAGACATCGACACCCTCAATATGGTGTCGACAATGTACGACTATCGATAAAATCCATTTAGACGAATAAAATAATTCCTTCTATTTTATCAGATTTTGTTTCTTTTTTTCGGAGACATATTTGTCTTTCATTATGAAAAATACAATTTTCTACCAACAATGTTTGATTGTACAGTAGTTTAATCCATTTCATTTCATATGAATTTTTTTTCTCTTTCTTTCCAATAACATTTCTTATGTATTATGGACCTTGAATGGCTTTTTTTCTCAATCTTTACACATACTTTCGCAATAAAATGCGTAGCTGAAAAAAAAAGAAGGGTGTGAGTGTGATCATCTATTCTCTCAATCTGGGATATAGATTCTACACCCCGGATTGAATGAATAAATGATCACACCCAGATTCAAAATCACACTCACCCTCTCGGGGGCTTCTATGTTATAAGGTTTCATAGTCGTAATATTCAGATTGCATTTTATGAGTTCGTAACAACGAAAACGACCATCGAAGAACCAACTACTTGCGTATCTGACTTTTTACAAACAATAAAATCCGGTCATAATACAGCGCATATAAAATGGCGATAAGCTACTCAAACCGATGTTTACAGTTGTGCTGATTCCACTAGAACACATATAGGACTACTTTTTGTAGTTTCTGCAAGCCAACGTTCATCTCTTTACACCAGTTGGGAAATAATCAGGTAACATAATTAATTTACACTTTAATTGTCCAGTTTCCACATTGAATCGAGCCTACTCAGGTCTAAGGACTCCGCCACCTTTGTTAGTTGGTGATGGTTACGTGTTGTTATCTTCTCGTGTTTTATCAATTCTAGTTTAATCAAATACAAGTAATTCGCTATCTGTTTCTTACAAGGAAACTACCCGAAATAATTCCCCAATTTGGGTGAGGGTGTGAGTGTGGGTTTAGTACAAAAGTTGAAACCCACACTCACACCGTCAAGATGCTCTGTTAGAATTTTCTCTTTTCTCTCCTCTCCTTCTTGTATTTGTATATAACGAATGTCTATGATGTTAGTTCAACAAGTCATTTTTAATTGTAGTATCGGTTATTCTCAAGTCTTCACTGTGTTTTACAATGGACGAATGCTTGAACGAATATATTCAAACTGCGGAAGAATCACTCGAACTGTTACAAGAATTGCTAGCCGAAATTAAAGTACACCAAGACAGGTGCATTGGTTTACAAGAAATGGGCATAACGTTTTCAGTTCTTGGTGGAATAATTACCATCGCAAGTATTGCTTTAGCACCAGCTACTGCTGGGGCCTCCCTTGTTGGTGTTGGTTATGGTATAGCTACAGGTGCCGCAGGAGCAGTTACCAAAGCAGGAGAAGCCGTTGCTGACATGATCTTCACAAAGAATTACTCCGGCGAACTACTTCAAATCGATAGTCGTCTAGAAGATGTTGCAAAAAGGTTCTACGAGTACGTGGATCAAATTGAAGCTGAAGCTGCACGCATTATCAAGGAAGATGGTGTGCAGGAAGAGGAAGGTTGGAGACAGGCTATGGTACTATTATTAACTACTGGAAAGATAGCCTGGAAAGGCAAGCAAGTTACCGGCATTGCTTTAAACATGGGGCCGACTACGGGCTCAACGTTGTTAAAGAATGGAGGTAAAGTGTTCGAGGGCATGCGAGTTAATTCTAACTTGCTCATGTCCTCAGTCAACAAAATGGGCTTTGATGTTTCGAAACGAGTAGCGTTCAGTGCGGTCAAAAGTGCTACAGTCGTTCTTAATGCCGCTTTTATTTTCTGGGATCTCAAATCTGTGGCTGGCATTATTAACAGTGATCACATCCTTGCCGAACCTGTGGAGACGCAAATTGGTAAAATTGAAGAGCTATTGAAGAACTTAAAAGACTTTAGAGACTCGATTGATTTTTAAGTACTGTGTTTGTTCAACTTCATTTATGTAACATTCTTTTTCTTTTCTCTTTTTCAATAAACAAGTACAGGTCTATTTTGTCAGGCACATTTTTACTCTTGAAAGTTAATCATATCTAAGAGAGTTTATTCGTTGCCCTCGTCATGTCGAGATCAAAACACGTGGCAAACGTATCTGTAGAGCTATCTCCAGTCTAAAAATTTTAATATTTTAGAGAATATACTCTATTTAAAGATAAAATCGATTTTAATCACTTACTCGGTGATTGACTGAAGAAAATCTTGAGGGTGTGGGTGTGTAGATATATTTTGTTTATCAGTCACTCACGGTCACCCTCACACCCACATATATATATATATATATAATCAAATAGATCGAATGATCATCGAACACTTCCATTTGATATAATAGTTCTACAACAGTTCAAAGATTTACTTAATGAATCTATATCTAAACTACATCAACGATACTTTGGTAAATACTTTACTGATGATATAAGTACTAAAACACTTACTATCAATGAACTTGATCGATTATTTCAGTTAACATCTTTACTTAGTAAGTTTTTTCTTTCTTTTAAAAGTTAATGAATATAATTTCTTTTTTTTAGCTAAAAGAATTTTAATAGTATTTAATTTAAATAAATCATATGAAAAAAATTCGATATCAGGTAAAGATATTCGTTCATTTTATGAACAATATCTATCAGAAGTTAAATATTTTAAAGATGAAAAAGAAATATTTTTGCAAGAATTTTTTTCGTTAAATAATGAAAATCAACAAAAACAAGAATTAAATTTTGAACAATTTTATTAAATTTTTCAACAGAATCCATCTATATTTAAATCACTCTATCTTATTAGTATACCTGATCAAGATAATGAAGATTTTATATATTCTAATATCAATTGCATTAATTATTCATGTGGCTATTTATCGAGTTATAGTTCTTGAAAATCATTCTGTACCACAAGTTATTGCTCGAATTAATGGTATGTTGGTTCATTTTAGTTATGCTCCAGCTATTAGTCTAATGCTCAAACAAACAATGACAATTATTAGATGTTTATATTATCTTCGTTTATTTATACCAGTTGATGATCATATTGATGCACATCGTTTAGTAGGTACAATGATATTTATTTCTGCTATAAATCTTGACGGTAAAATAGATAATCTGTTTTCTTTCTTATTTCATATATTAGGACATTCATGGTTTTCATTAATATTTACAACAGCTGCAGGAATTGGTTGGGTTAGTTATTCTATTTGTTTATTCCAATGTATCCGACAACGATCTGGATTTTATCAATTATTTTGTTATAATCATTATTTATTTTAGCCAATTTTTATTCTACTTGTACTTCATGCACCAAATTTTTGGAAATGGGCTATTGGACCAATGGTATTATTTTGTTTTGAAAAAATTTATTTATTTAAACGACATTTACCAAAATATGGTTGTACAAAATTAATCTCCATTCGAATTCAAGATAAGCATCCATTTACAATTTGTAGTAGTCCACAACGAAAAGATATACTTGGTCTAACTATTATGAAAAAACAAAATTGAACAAGAAAAACCTATGAACATTTTTCAAAAGAACAAAATTCTGATAGTAATAGTCAAATGACAGAAATTACAGTGGATAATTTAAACAATAATTCAGAAATAAATTCAAGAAATCTGTCACTTTATCCAAGAGAAATTATATTTACTGATAAACAAAGAGATGCTATTGTTTGTATAGAAGGTCCATTTAGTACTTGTACATCGCATATATTTGATTGCGAACATGTTGTATTAGTCGGTGCTGGTATTGGTACACCATCAACAAGTAATTCACAATCAAGATATCTTGATATTCATCTTTATTGTACATCAATACGTAGTAATGAACAATTTAAGTTAGAAAATCTTCAATTAAGAACACCAACACATGTTGGATGACCACCGTGGAAATTATTATTTGCAAAATTTAAAGCTGAACATCGATCAACAAATGTATTTTTTACTGGTAATAGAATTATGGCAGATGAAATTAAGAAGCATTGTGATGAACCTTATTTTTAAAACTTATGCCAAGGAACACGGATATCTTTCTCTCTCTCTATGAACATTCATTTTAATTATATTTTCATAAACAGTAATTCATATGGGTGTTTTAGATATTTTTATGTATGAATAAATGATTTATGTGAAAAATGTATTCTTTGTATAAATAGTATAATTCATTAATCACTATTTTTACCATGTATATCTATTTAAAAGAATCTTGAAATACACTCTATTCTTTTTGCTTTTAGCTTATGACATCTGTACAATGTTGAAAGATCTAATCGTGAATGTTATTCTAATAATATTCGAAAGAAACTAATAATAATAAATGATTGAAGAAAAAATTGTAAAATATGAATTTATAGTAAAGATTTTTTAATATAATACATGATTTTTATGTTTATTGATTGATAATGCAAAATTAATACCATAAAATGTCCACAAAGATATATTCTGAAACGATTCATGATTTATTTCTAACATAAACTCATAATGAAAAGACATGTAAAACAAAAGAAAAAAGATGTAACTAAATTTCATTATGTTTTTGTATAGAAATTTCAAATATTGATAATTAATTCTTTCAAAAAACAACTATTCAACAATATTTCGATTGTCATATAATACCTCTTCCAAATTCTCTCTGTGATCTATTTCAATAATTCGTTGTGAATAGTTTGAATATTTCATTCATAAATAATCATCAATGTTATGATCAAATCTTGTTACACATATTCTTTTCTATTTATTTCAATTACACTTTTTCTTTCGCACATTTATGCACACGTGCCAATGTGTATCTAATTGATTTGTTCTTTTACCTCTCTACCTATATTCACATACATTTCTTTTCATATAAATCGAAAACAAGACGATGATCAGTATTTAAAAAATGGTCTTAGGTCAATTATGATATTCATTTTCTTTAGATAAATATTTATTAAAAATATGATTAAAATATATTAAAAGTCGAAAAAAAACAAAAAATGAAAAGAATAAATATAGAAGACTACTGCCTAATGATAATAATATGGTTTGAAAATGAATAAAATACTACAGTAAGAAAAAAAAAGAGTAAATGTTTTGTTTTCAAGTAAAGTCTTTTGTTCATCGTATATTAATATTTCTCATGCGTTGTGCATGTCTTAACTGTGCTTTCTTGTGTAATGGATTAAACATATTGGAAAACTTCGTAAACGCAGCATACATTACTAAAGCTTGTATAGGAACCATAGCAGCCATCATAACAGCACTCATAATTGCTACTGGTTGGGCACATGTATTTATCTATTATATATGTGTTAAATATGAGTCGTATATAATTGAAAACTTACGAAATCTATAGGATACATGACAGGAACGGTAGTTTCAGTTGATGCACCTGCAGTAGTTACACCCGCTGTTGTTGGACCTATAGGACAGAAGTGAATGAATTACAATAATAATTTCAAAAAAGAAATAGTATTTTCTTACCAGCTGTAGTTGCAATTGTAGCAGTTATAGTTGTTGTAGTTGTAACAGCAGCTGAAGTAGTTGCCACTATGCCAGATGTTGTACACTATGAAAAAGTTTCATATTAAGAATAAATGTCAGTTTAGATAAACTTACTGCAGTATTAATCGAAGTAGTGGTTGTACCTAAGGATGTAACTGTATGAGTTGTTGGTGGAGTAGTAGTTGTTGTTGTTGTAGATGATAAAGCTGGATCCCAAATGTTAAATACCCAATATGTTGGATCATAAATCGGAGCAGATTCAGGACCTTCAATGATGTATCATTTAATTTATATCTCTTTATTAATCGATATAATTAATAAACTATTACTTACCACAAAATTCAGTTCCACTAGCAACACCTTAAATCAAACAAAACAACAACATATTAATTGAAAATACTCTGTATGACCAATAAATTTATACATACCAGTATCGAATGTCACATAATAAAAATGTCCAGGAATCCATGGTGCAACTGGAAAACGAATGATAGTTGTATAACCTGTATATATGACATTAGGGTCCCAACCACAATCAAATTTCGCAACGGGTTGAGTAGTATTAGCAGCATCTGTGAAATAGATGAAAGTATTATTAAGTGTTGGACGATTTACAGCCTTTGTCGCTAAAAAAACAAAATTTAAATATAATTAAATGTATAAAAACTTATTCACAAGTATTACTTTGAATCGAGAAAAGGGTTTGATTTTGAAAGACAGTGCCAATTGGTGAAGCTGAACCTTGAACCATTGTTGGACGAATGACATCAGGAGATTCAATGCCAACTAAGAATGTAACACACCATTGATTAGATTGAAGTTGTATACTATCGATAGCTCCAGCACAGACAGATTGCGGGCCATATTGAGCTTCTATGGGAACCCAGCTGAGAATGATTTCATAGACATCTGTAACGAAATAATGAAAGAAACAAAATAAAACACATAATATACACTAACTAGGACTTGAATTGATAATAAGACTCTTTGTCATACCAGTTGGAACGCTACTAACTAAATCAACAATAGCATGTCCAGGACAATAAACTTGTATAATGATATATTGAGTAACATTAGAACCGATTGGTGTACCAATACAAGCTAAAATGGAGTGAAACGATTGCATATGTGGAAAGAATAAAGAATAAAGTTATATATAATTTACCTCGGTTTGGTAGATTACCAATGATAGCAGGTGGAGTAGTACAACTAGCGGTAGGTGCCGCATAACCATAGAAAAGAAATTGTATTGGGACAGAACTCATTGGTGTTGTCGATGTAGTACTAAAAAAATCTTCAATTTGTAATGCTGCTACAGCGTACCAGCCAGCAAGTGTAAGCGTAAACACAATTGTGCAATTCTCCGCAATAAGACTAGCACCAGGAACACCATTACATATACCACCACATTCATCGAAATTGTTAATATTGCCTGATGAAGTTGACCATCGACATCGCAATGTATCGGTTCCATCAAAATCAGACATTTGAACAACATGTACTTGTTGAATATTAATTTGTTTGAAAATAATAGGAAGACTGACAGCAATAGGACTGGAATTTATGTAGCCATCGGGTCTAATAATAGTGTTGATCTGACAGACAACACTCCATGGCGAGCTCCCCTTGCCAGCAACAATATTTGCAAACCATTGACTTGCACTAAAAGCAACAATAAGTGTAATATTTAATGGAAATGTTTGCGTTTCATAATGTTCGCCAGAACTAACAGTAAGGTTAGCACTATAATCTGTGCAGTTTATTGCTGTATCCATAATAGTCCAATAACTACAAAGACCGCCATAACAACTGACATAATTGCCAGAGCTAATTCCCATAGTACCATGTGCAGCTATGGTCGCATCATTACAGAAAAAATTAGTACTACCACTAACATAAGCACGATTCCATGACCATCGTTCACGCACTTGAACGGCAACTGTACTGCCGGATGGAGTATTATTCAAAGGACGCCTATAAAATAGAATAATAATAAAAATCTATTAGTAAAAGACTATATATATATATTATGTACCATGTCATTGTGCCACCACGAAAATGACTACCATGTAAAATAGTGCTAAAACCTACTAACAGGATTATAAGCGATCGCATGATCAACATCATCTATGTAGCAAAAGAATGAAATGACTACAAAAAATCATGGTTTAAATACTATAGTTGCTGCGAGTTCTTTTTTTTTATTTGCGCACTTTCAATGGAGCAGAGGAATGGAAAGAAAGGGAGTGATATCATTCCCAAAAAACAAAAATTTTATTTTAATATGTCATGACTGTCTAAAATAAATACAGACATCGTTCGTTTCTATTTACTTGTCGAGGAGTAAGACAAAAAAATTGTAAAAACATTTTTTCCGATGATGCATTTACGTAAAAGAAGAAACAGAGAACTAATACACAGATTATATATTTTCGCCTGTTTTAAATGATTAACAAGGAGACTTTTTCGTTTATCTCTTTGGAAAGTCTTTCTTGGTTACATATTGAAATGATAAGTAACGGGTGCGGTACAATAAATGGGCCTCTTAGTATTTTGATCATAGCTCTTTCATTTTTTACACTACTGAGCTAATTGTTTTTTTTAAAAGATGCGCAATGAAGTTCTCTACAAAAACTGCGTAGTTTTTGTTTTCAATTTCCATGTGCAATAGATTTTTAAAACACGAAAAGTAAAGACTTCTAGAAAATGATGCTTTCCAACGAGTACATCAACGTGTCTGACAATCTCAGTGTTTTACCCGTAACTTATTCATTTTTTATGTTACTGAGCTAAATTGTTTTTTGAAAGGTGCCCCATGAAATTCTCTACAAAATCATATACTCTATTTAATCTACATTGCTTTTTGATAAGTGACTAGTTAGAAAAGTTACTTTGAAAGTACGACGTTTTAGGAGGATTTATTTTTTACGTCCTAAAAATTATCTGTATAAGAAGATCGAAAAACAAAAAATAGGGTTTTGTAGAGAACTTCATTGCGCATCTTTAAAAAAAAACAATTAGCTCAGTAGCGTAAAAAATGAAAGAGCTATGATCACAATACTACGAGGCCCATTTATTGTGCCGCACCCGTTATTATTAATAATATCAGATAGATTATCATATTTTACTGCATAATATTTTCTCAATAAGACTGTTCGATCAGTGAAATATTTATTTTTAATATTTGTTAAAACAAAAGATCATGTCATTATATTGATACAAGACATTCACTAATGAACATTCGTTTGAATCATATAATCCTATTTTCTACCTTTGAAATATGATTAACAAAATATATACAACTAATTTCTTAATAACATAATATTTTGTCACAAACTCAGTTATCATCACTTGTTATATTACGTCTATTTGCACAACAAAAAAAAATCTAATTTTATTTTTGATTAATTTAAATACGAAATTGTCTAAATTTATTCTGAATATATTATCAAAAATAAAATACCGACTATGTCATGAATTTTGGAATTCATGACATACAAACATATTATAATAAATTGCACCTATAAGACGTTTCTAGTAATTCATGTGCATGACATTGTTACTTTTTCTTTTTTTTACCCTTTTCTTTCTTCAACTATTAATTAGTTCATAATACAAAAACAAATCAGACGGCAAAGCTAAAGTGCTTATTACTAATAGCGATATTTTAAATTTTCTTCTATGTTTGATTGTTGACAGTTAAAAAACTATTTGTCTTTCTTCAAAATTAATCCTGCTCATTTTCTATACAAAATTTTTCTTTTCTGTTCACAACAATACGTAAAAAATGGTTAATGTGAAAGCAAAAACAGAATAGGAAGATTGAATTTATTTTTGTTTGATTCTATCGTAGACAAAAAGTGAAAGAAAAAAAAAAGAATTAAATTTCATTGTCTTTCTCTCTCTATTGATATACATAAAGATAAATGTTTGGGCGAGAAAATAATCAATTTAATCTATTGAAGAAGATGCCTTTCAAATCCATACAAAGGTATCTCTAAAAAGGCTAGAACTTTGGATTTATATGTATTTTTACATACTCTTTCATCTAAAATACTCAATAATGGGTGTCAAAAATTTTTGTATAACGGCCCAAAGACTGATTAAATCTTATTTAGTTATTAATATATTAAGTTTCGAAATAGAAAGAGAGAAAGTTTATAAAATTTCAAAAAATGTTTTTATATTTTATTTTATATAAAACTTTATTTTTGTCTTCTAAAAATTAATGATTTCGTCATAATTCACATTTTTATCATCCAAAATATCAAACCTAAGAATGAAAAATAAATATAAATTCAAATTCTTATTATTCTCAATGATTTTAATTGAGACGATAAATCTATTAAAATTGATTGTCTCATGATGATGATGATAATGCTGATTATCAAATAGAATTTTGTTTTATTTTTAAAAATTAGGAGAGATGAAATATTTAACAATTACGATAATTTGTTTATTCATTCTGTTCATCTGATAATACATCGACTGATTTTGGATTGATTTAAATCATCTTGAGGGGTGTGGGTGTGAATCTGAATATTCGGCATACATGAAAACCTTATCAATACCCAGACATCCACACACCCTGAAGATGGTTTACACCCGTTTAAGATTCATCATCAAAGAAATGTACACTCTAGTGCTGTTGGATATAAAAAAAATCAATATCTCTTAAGTTTTCTTTGTATTTTATAATAGTGTTATTTATTTCATGAAACAAAACACACACACAATACATATAAATAAGCGTTAAGACATTCTACTAATTACTTTTATTTTCATTACATCAATGTTAGCCTGTCTATAGGGCTAAGAGAGACTGATGACTAGAGTCATCGCTAACAATTAATGTATTTATCTTTTTCATACAATCATTTTTAGATAAGCTTTATAACATATCGTTCCATTGAAGAAGACTAATAAAGTTCTATACTATTTACAATACTACCACCATTTGTTCCCCCACTCGCCATCACAGTTCCATCTAATAGTGTGGATGCTGTGTAATATCCGCGTGCTGTATGCATACTAGGACCGGCTGTCCAAAGTCCTGTTGATGGACTATACAATTCAGTAGTATTGAAATAAGTGCTACCACTATATCCACCAACGACTAACACTGTTCCATTTGTTAATAGAGATGCTGTCGGCCCTTTTCGTGATATGCTCATATTACCGGTAGTTGTCCAGGTACCAGTTGATGGATCATACACTTCTGCACTATTTAAAATAACACCACCACTAGTCTCTCCACCCGTAGCTAATACTCTTCCATCTGTTAATATACACACTGCAGGAGGATCCCGTGCAACATTCATACTACCGGTACGTGTCCAATTACCAGTTGATGGATCATACAATTCAGCAGTATTTAAATAACTACCATCATAGCCACCTAAAGCTAATACTTTCCCAGTTGTCAATCGTACAGCTGTTGGATTAGCACGTGCATTATTCATGTTTCCTGTACGTGTCCAAATACCAGTTGATGGATCATACAATTCAGCAGTATTTAAATAACCACTATTACCATTTCCACCTAAAATCAATACTTTCCCATTTGTTAATGTGACTGATACTGGACCAGCGCGTGCATCATTCAGATTTCCTGTGATTGTCCAAGTATTTGTCATTGGATTATATATTTCAGCACTATTTAGACAACTACCGTCGTTACCACCAGCTACTAAAACACTACCATTTTTCAATATGGATGCGGTATGTGAATTTCGTCCTGTGGTCAAAGCACCAACAATCGTCCAATTTCCCGTTGCTGGATCATATAATTCAGTAGTAGTCAAAAAAGCACCATTATATCCTCCAGTAACTAATACTTTTCCACTATTTAATACGGATGCTGTGTGAGATTCTCGTGAAGTGCTTAAGCTGCCTGTAGTTACCCATACTAAATAAGATACATATAAAAACTCTTTTTGAAACTTCCGAAAGCTACTCTTTTGTACAGCTACAGAAAGTATTCATTATTTAGCCTGTTACTTACCCCTAGGTGTTGTTGTTGTTGTCGTTGCTGTTGTTGTTGTAGTTATAGTTGTCGCTAAGAATATCAGTCATTATACAAGATGATTAAGTTATATTCGTAGTTTTTTCACTCTTCAATACTCCTGGGAGACAGCAATCCGCATCCATGTATGCTAAACTTAAGAACGATTTCGAATACTCAACCCTAGTCGAACATCTTGTAAGTAAGATCTGGAAATCTTGAAATTCGTAAGTAAGATCTTGCCAAGATCTTAAAAAGATAATTTCTTTTTTTCGATAAAGCATATCTTGATCATATCTTACGAATCTGTAACACAGATCTTATTAAGATCTTTCTTCAAGATATCAAGCTTTTCAAAAGACATGAAGAAAAGTTAAATTGTAATTATCTTGTATCACAGATCTTATCAAGATCTTTACTCAAGATATCAAAATTGTTAGAAGACTGGACAAAAGTTAAACTGTAATTATCTTGCACCAAGATCTTGAATAAACTAAAGCGACATCATTAATAGAAAAAAATAATTCAAATATTTGAATTATTTTATTAAAAATATTCATAAATCATAACAGAACAGAAAAAAAAATAAAAAAAGCTTTTTTACAGTCTTCATATATATGAACCAATAAAAACAAAGAATGAACACAAAGATAACAAACGTTATAAGGGCCAAGTCTTTATCTCATATAAGCATGAAAAATCTTAATTAAATAACTATGCATCGATTAATGATGATATGTTGATTCTTCTTAAATATATTAATCATAATTTTTTCGACGAACGAGATATTTTACAATTGTAAAAATGAATTTTTTTTATTACAATGACGAGAATGAAGAGACTTAACTTAGAAATTTTTATGAAATAATTTTCCAATAATTATATTTGTCTTTTAGAAATCTACTGGAATTTACTTGCGTCAGTTTTAATGCTAAAAGCAATGGTCAATTCAATTAACATGTACATTATCAATCTATGCTAATATATCGAATTGTTGAAATAAACTACGCATGTTTAGACATGTATGCTACTTATTTTAAAGTAATTAATTGCTGTTGTTTATTCGTTTTAGTTTAGTTTAATTTTGCGTATTATTATTTTTAGATATGAACAATAAATTTTGTTCGAAAAGTACGACTCAACGAACAAGAGAATGTATGCGCCAATACCGGTTGGCACGCAAGGAAAGTGAAGTATTTAGGATGCTTCGAAATAATGAACACGAAGACGAAGATGATGATTTCATGGACATCTCTAATTCATTAGATCCAGTAGCTGGCGATATTTCAGATAATGATGCCGTTGTTACTATTGATCAAGCCGTTTCATTGTCATCATCATTGTTGACATCATCGCCTGATGCTGAATTATATGACGAAGCTGATTCAAATTTATTTTTATTATTTTTTATCTTGTATTTCGTGTACTTCTGAATGATTTGTGTTCATACAGATGATTGTGAATTAAAAAGAGTAGTTATGGTATTTAAATTTTATTATGTTTTTTTTTCTAAAGGTTGTAATTGTATTTGATGTTCACGTGTGTTATTGTATGTTCATATAGGTCTTAAATTTAAATATATTAGTACAAGATCTGAAGATCTTGTAGAGGCAAAACGAAAATACTATTCATTACAAGATCTTATGCTCAAGATTTCGAATATCTGTTACCAAGATCTTAACAAGCTATACATAAGATATTAACAACCTGTACATAAGATCTTAACAATCTGTACCTAAGATCTAGTCACAGATCTTGTGTACAAGATAATCAAATTATCTGTACCTATTTTTTCAAGATCTGTTCACTTATCTGTTCCTAAGATCTTGGCCAAGATCTTGCTTACAAGATGTTCGACTAGGGAAATTATTTTTTTTGTTTCAATCTCATTAACAAAAAAAAACAGCTCTTGTATCGAAACCATATAAATAATACAATGTTTCTTTTTTTTTCCAGCTAATGAAAAAACTGCTTTGAAAACAAACATGCATCAATTTAAGGCTTCTTTTAAATAAAGCTTGCATTCATCTGAGCTATATTCAAAAATTTGATTTATAAAACTGGATCTATAAGATAGAGAGCATGATTACGTACATGATGATAGCACAATTGGAATGCCAATCGCTGCAGCCAAAACAATAGTAACAGTAACTATCGAAAAAAACAAGTACCACATGTGACAATGTGAAAATTGCCTAAAATGAATAATAACACATTGTCCTATTAAACGTTATTCTGTAATAAACACTATGAAAAGCAGTGAATCATGACAAAAAGATATGATTTATTGTTATTATCTACTAATCACCTTGGGGGTGTGGGTATAATCTTAAGAAAAACAACTTTTTAGAACGAGTTCCTATAGTGTCGAGTTATGATACATTTGTTTTACACCTACCAATGAACCTTCTTTGTCCGTTTTGCTTGTTTTAAAGTATTTTGACGTGAATGCTCATTTTCTGGTGTCACTTTGCTTGTTTTATTGAATGTTTCATGGTTAGTTGACTGAAAAGTATCATTATGAACAGATTTTAATGAATTTTTCTCGGTAGACAGAGGTACTTTTGATAAGTTCTGAACAGAAAACGTATTGGTCACCTTGGCTAATTGAATTGATTTGCGATGTATGCGTTGTACACGACAATGGTATGGTAAATTAGTGATGCGAGTTTGTTTCATACTTTTACCTTATTACTGAAATGAATTAAACTTTGTATGCGGAATTTATCGACAAACCCTATTCCCTTTTTTTTAATTCGATCTGTTCTCCAAAGTATATGCCAGACAAAAGAAATTTAGTTAAATGTATTACAGAGGTTTGTTTTTATACTAATAAAAGAAATAGAAACCAAACAAAAACCAGCAAATAGATTGAGTTTCATCAATGCTTCTTCAATCATTTACATTTTGATTTGAGATTAGACGCGACGATGTGAGTCTGTCTCAGAGCTGTACAAAATACTCGAAGTACGTGTACTTCAGAACGATTTTTGTAGTACTCGTACTCGTATCATCTTGAGGGTGTGGGTGGATAAGAAGAATGGCCATACCCACACCCTTTTTATATTGTAAATGATCAGGAAGATGAAATTCTTGTATATTATTACAATCAAATAAATGATATTAAATGGATTAAGGGTGTGAATATCGGTGTGAGTGTGAGTGTCTTTGATCCCTTGACCCACATCCTCATCCACACCCACACTCTTTTCCTCCTTGGAAAAGGAAAAGATTTTTAATTAATTAAAATTCATTTCTAAAATCTAAATAAAAAGAAAAACAAATAAAATATATTTTATAAAATTTCATCAATTAACAAAATGATTCCTTGAACTTAATTAAAATAATAAAATAGTGAAGAAAAATTGAATGATTTTTCTATTATATCGATAAATAAAAAAATGTCTGAATTAAATGATTATTTAACAAATTATTAAATCTTCTTTTCATTTATATAAAGTAATGAAATTACATGAATAAATATTCAATTGAAATTCAATATTTAACAATAGAAAATAATTCAAATGATTTTATAAAAATATTTTCTTTTTCCTTTATAATTAATTATTTAATGTTATTCTCAAAAGTAATAGAATTTTCGAGTCAAATTCTTTAACATCATCAGTTTAGTGTTCAACAAACAAACGAATACATATCACATGAATTAATTCTTTTTTTTATTGACTGAACTTTTTTTCTTTGCTCAATAATTGTCAAGTCAATGGAGAACAACACGTATTCATCTTAGAATTTTGAATATGAACAGATTATCGATATAAAAATAAATGTAAATCAGTTCATTGACATATTTCGAACTTGATATTATCATTGATAATTATAAACTAAAAAGAATGATTCCGAAACGAAGAAGGCATTCGTATTGAGTATGAAGTTAATCTTGTACATGATCAAGAATTTATTAATGATAGAATTATGTATAATTGTCTCTTGGATTGTTTTGATTCATTGATTCCTCTGTTTGATCCTCTAAATTTTAATGACATACTATACTAACATCTCATTATCAGTGTGAATTCAACAATAGAATTGAGAGAAATGCTATGTTTACTCATGTCTTCTATTCATATAAATTATTATTCAGATACAAAGTGAATTTTACTCAACACTGCCAAAAAAAATAAACCATTCGATAAATAAGTTGGTTTAACAAATAAATATGATGAAACATGAAAGTATAATGTAATGAATGTTCTTGAAGAGTTTAAATTATATGTTAAATATGTTTATCTAATATCTGAACTCCACATAGTAAAACTATACAAATAAATTTGAACATAAATGGTAATAAGATTTTATTCTAGTTTAAGGGTGTGGGTGTGAATGTGAGTGTGGTTGATTCTAAGAGTACCCACACCCATATCCAAATCTACGCCTACACCCATGCCCACACCTACACGCACACTCAAATCCCACACCCGAACCCACATTCACACATAAGATTTGTATAGAAACTGTTGCTCTGTGCTTTTTCATCAAGACAAATATTATCTTATCGTCAAATGTGTCGTAAGAGTCATCCTTGGAAATTTCAAACCGTCTGGCGAATAATGATGAAAGTATTCTCTTATCAATATTTCAACTGTCAACAAAACTATGACTTTATTTGAACTGATGTTTTAATATTCTTTTTGTCATGGGAAAAAAACATTTTTGTTACTTATCTCGGTTATATCCCCCCTTGAAATAAAACCACTTGTATATTACAAAATAATACCTTTATAATAGAAAGAAAATGATTCACTTTGCTTATCTTAGATTTATTTATAGGCAATGTGTTATCAAATGGGGAAAAAACTTGTGTTGAATGAAATATATAAATACAACCAAAATATACATAAAATACTAAATCGAGAAAGCATAATTAATTCATAAGTAAACGGATGAGTTTATAAGTGATGAAATAATTTCAAGTAGTAAGTAGTGTTTTTTAGGGTGTTTGCTGGAATCGAATGAGTGTAATGTACAGAAGAACAATTTGCTGCTAAAATAAAATCGTGTCTGAATTGTCCGGTTGTTGTTTTTTGTAGATATAAAAGAAACATTATCAGTTCACAATGGCGAGTAACGAATCGGTAAGTATCAAAGCTAATACATATTGAGAACCGCTTTGTAACCTTCGTTTTCATTATTCGAGTAAAATTTTTAAAGATTTGATTTTTCTGAATGTTTAGAATTTATCGTCGGGTATATCCAATAAAGAAATACGCAGCATGGGCGACGTGAATAATGATGCAAGACATTCGCAACAAGGATTAACCAATAACCAAAATGTTGCTAGTCGTGAGCAAACGACACGTAGTAATACAGGATCAATCGGTGCTAATATGCAATCGCCAACGGTATGTGAGAGTGATCTTCTTTTACGATGAAAAACATGAACTTTCGTACGTTGAGCAAAAGTAAAAGAAACATGTTTATTGAGACAGTAATGATCTTGAAAGCCTTTTTGTTAGTCGAAGAAAAGTAAAATGTGCCTGTTGCCAAAATATATTTGAGATGAAACAGATTGATAAACTAATTCATGTAAATCAAATTTGCTTGTTTTTTTTTTAATATCAACAAGAGACGGTATATTACAGACGAGTTTGACTTGTTTTCATACTGTAGTATATAGTGATGGAGAGGTAGAGAGGAGAATAAAGATGAAAATGAGATAATCATCGTCACAATCTAACTGTGAATAATAGAGTCCTGCACGGGTGCACTTTTTTGTACCCGAAACTGAACCGGCGGTTTTTTTTACGCCCGGGCCCGAACCGACCCGGCTAGTTAACCACCCAGAACCGAACCGAACCGGACCGAATAAGCTAACCCGGACCCGAACCGATCGACACAGTTATTTTTCAAAATATGATCAAATTTCTAAACTTTTATTTCATTCAATAAATATAATACGTTTAGTTTCGTTCATAAGTAGGAGTAGGACAGTTCGTAGTTCCATGTTCAAATGAACTGGTCAAAAGAACTATTATACAGTTCCTAAGAACGTAACTAATATGGAACTGTCCTACCCATATACATAAGTAACAAATAAAAATATATATTATGTAAAATTACGTAAAAAAACAAGTGAATCAGGAGTTAGCTGAAGATGTGGATCTTGCTCTTATCTCACATTCACACACAAGCCCACACCCACATTCACCTTTCGTATTGTAAGATGTTAATTAACAAAACAATAAAAGCTTTTCATCCGAAACATAACAAAAGCTATTCAAAAAAACTAAACTTTTCTTTATGAAATATTTAAATGACTAATGGATCGTTTAATCATTACTAGATTTATTGTGACTTCATTCTTCATATTAGTAATAGTATCAGAATAAAATGTTACAAAGGAAGTGGCGCTTTTTCCATGGGCTATACCCCCCCGCGAGATTTCTTTTCTTTCAACTATTTTTTGGTAGA